TGCTAGGTGCCAGATTGTGTCAGTGCATGAGGGGCAGGGATGGCAAGGTAATGTCACAGCTGCCTCACCCTCAGGGTGCTGCAGTGCTGACTGTGGGCTCCTTTTCCTCTCCTGTCGCCTCCTTCCTGCACCTACCCAACCCTGCCGGGGCCCTTGTTTGGGTCTCCCTAAGCTCCCAGGGCTCGTGTCAATTCTTTCCCCATAGGGTGTCCTGCTGATCCCCAACATGTCCACTTATATGGATGATCACGGGCTTGATGAACACATTTAAATTTTTTCAGCCATGGCAACAGGTGATACATAAGTCAGGAATGGGGTGTACCCTGGAAGATGGAAGGGAGCAGGGTCAGGTGTGCCTGTGTTTATGCAGTGCCTCAGTTCCAGGGTGCTGGTTTATGAGAGTAGGTGACAGCAGGTGGGCTGTACAGAGCCCCCCACTGTCATGGTGCAGTTTGACCATAGGTTTTACAGCACTGCCCTCCCCCCTCTTACCATGCCCATTCAAGCTGGGAAATGCAGGAAGCTGCTGGGTGGCAGGTCATAGGAAGTCGCCGGGGCTGACTGCTTATGCACCTTCCCTCTTGTTGCCGTAGCTGCTGGGGTTTCTCCATGTGTGCATAGGCACTGTGTCCATCGTGTGAGACCCTATGGGGTCCCTCCAAGACAGGACACATGCCTCAGACCTGGGCCAGTCAGGATGCAGTCTTGTCTTTGCAAAGGTAGCCTTTTATTCCCATCTGGCTGCAGTGTGGTTTCCTTTCTACTCGTTTAAAGGCCAAGCAGCATGGGGTGATGGCAATTTGCCCTTTGCTTGTGAGATGTGGTGACAACCTGTCTCAGGTCAAGTAGAGTGAAAAGCAGGTATCAGGCATGCAAATGCATGCTTGGTTTTCAACAGGCACAGAGGGGGTTGAAATTGGTGGCTTCTGTGTGCCTCTTCCCTGTGAGGAGATTGTGTGGTTCAACAGGAAGTGCTGGAGGTGGGAAGCATGGAGCTGTGGCCATGCACCTTCAGCTGAGTCCACGCTGTGCTCAAACCTTTTGGGTCCTTGTTGCCAGTTTTGATTTAGGCTGGCCTTAGATGGCATTTATTTGCCATTAGGATCTTTGAATTTAGGTAGGAAAGGAAAGCTCTATCCTAAAATTACTCTATCTAATGCTCCCATGGACACACTTTTAAAGTTTAAAAAGTTAATGGCTTTGCAACCCCTTGTAACTTTTTAGAGGGGATCCAAGTAGGAATTGTATTAGTCGTTCACTGTTTTACTTCCTGTGCTCTCTCTGGGCATTGAGGGACGTGTGAGTTTCAGCAGTCCAAGCGCTGTGAGGCTCCTCCTCACTAGACTTCTGCCTTCCACGTTCCCTGCATCTAATACAGGCTGCCGAGCTGCTGCAGGGATCCCATGTACCATCGCGGCTGTGAGCACCCAGCTCCCTGGCACAGCAGCCTTTCATGGCTCACGTGGTGAAGGGACTGGCACCTGTGGCCCACTGAGGGCACATATGCCACTGGCTGCTTTGTGATCTCACGAGCATTTTCTTCAGTGTTTTGTTTTGTTTTGCTTTCGAGTGGTACTAGGGTTTGAATTCAGGGCTCTGCACTTGTGAAGCAGGTGCTCTGTTGAGCCACACCCCCAGCCCTTGGGTGGTTTTGGACTTGTGTGTTTTGTTTATTGTGAAGGTCAGTGTTCAGACTTACTGTAGTGTTCAGGATCTGCGGTGCATTTCTTTTCCTTCCCAGCACATGCTCCATTACAGTGATGTCCTTGCTGTGCTGTGAAATGTGAGAAGATAGCAGACTCATCAAGCCTTGAAGTATGGGGTGAATAGCTCCTGGTGAAGACTCATGTCTCTGGTGTGAGTCCCTGAGCTCTTAAGGGGGCAGAACATGTGGTCACTGTGTTTTTATCCTATCCTCTATAACTGTGAAATAGGCTCATGTGAGATTTGAAAGATGTGATGTGTATTTTTGTGAGAAAGAAAAGCATCAAGGAGGACCCCACCTGCCTGCTGCGGGTGTCCCTGCAGGATCCGTGTTCAAGCGACACTTCCCTGTGAGGAGAAGTCAAATGTCTTGTTTCTTCCTTGTGTTACACTGCTGATTTTACCAGAGCTAATCTTTTGTTTCCAGGAATGCCTGCCGTCTGCAGCCCTGGCATGGTGCCTGTGGCCATGCCCCCACCAGCCGTGACTGCTCAGCCCCGCTGTAATGAGGAGGACCTGAAGGCCATTCAGGACATGTTCCCCAACATGGACAGGGAGGTGATCCGCTCTGTGCTGGAGGCTCAGAGAGGAAACAAGGATGCCGCCATCAATTCCCTGCTGCAGATGGGCGAGGAGTCCTAGACTCACCTCTGCCCATGCCTCATGCCACCAGCCCTTTGGACCTGACCTCCCAGGGCTCCCCAGGGTCATTATCCCAACAAGATTCCTATGAAAGACCACCCATGTACCCCTTCCTTGGACATCTGTGCCACCCCCTTCCCACCTGTTTTTGGGATGCATGTGGGTTTTCGGTTCCCGGCAGCCCTCTTTGCCATTGGTGGTGAATGGGGTAGCTCCCTTCTTGTCTTGGGTTAGGTGATGGTGGTGCAGTCCTGTCACAGCACAGACCCATGCTTCTGTTGCTTGGGGACCTGTGTCTGTCCTCTTCACACTGTTCTGGAAAGCATTCTTGGCCACTTCTGTCAGGGCATTAGAAATTGTGGAGCATCCTTCTAGTTGATGAATTGCATGGGGTTATTCAACTTAAGTGGGATAGACCTGGTAGTTAAGGAACTCAGAACTCACGTGCACTGACTTGTGGATTATTTAGAACTTCGAGCTGAAAGCTCATGTCCTTCCCCTGATGTTCTTTGTGAACCTGGGTTACTCACCTGTTCTGGGCGAATGAGCTGTGCTTCCCAGCAATAGCCAGCAGGCCCGGGCTTTTGCCTGGCTTACCTGGTCACTGTCCAGCCAGGCCTCAGCCATAGATTCCAACAGGAATACAGAATGAGTCCAAACCTAATGTGTGACAGAAGCCTGAGGCTGGCTGGGCTCTGCCTTGCCCTCTGCAGGCTGCTGTCTGTCTCCTGCTGTTTCATGCCAGCTCTGTGGGAGTTACCCCAGGCGCTTCTTGCCTCAGAGCCTGGAGTCGGTGAAAGAGGCAGGTGCAGCACTGTATGTTTACTAAAGGGTGTTCAGGCATTGTGGCCACTACTGTCCTAATGTAAGAGATGCTGTGCACCATACCGTAGTTCAGTTTGGGTGATAGAAACGGCGCATGTAACACTTTCAACTTTTCAAAACCTAGTGTACCGGCCACTTGGTCCCTCCGTGTTACAACTTGGTTACAGACCTTTTGACCCCTGTCTTGGCTACAGACTTAAGGTTTAGGGACAGGGTGAGTTACACCTTGTGTTAAGACTCGGAACCTTGAGAGCATTCTCAAAAGTGATGCACTTTAAAATATGCATACTTCATTGAAAAGCTAGCGCGCATTGTTGCATGTTTGTGGTGTTACAATTTTGCATTAAATTGCAGTTGCTTCTCATTCTTCCACGTATTTGCACCCAGACTTTGGATACAAGACCCTGCCAATATGGGCATGAAGATAAATCCACCAGTTTCAGCTTCTGACAAAGATTTAGAATAAGGAAGTTCATGGTGAAATTTCAAGTTTTTTTCCCCCCTTCTAAAAATTTAGGATAAGATTTAATGTCAGCTAGAAAGCTCTGCTTACTGCTATCTAGGGAGGTGCTTTTTGTCAAATATATTATTCCCAAATATTTATTTTTGTAAACCTGAAGGAGTGTGTGGTGGTGGCATGGGTGTTGGATTTTATGACTATTAAGTCTCATGATGGAGGAGAAAGACGCCAGTGTTTAAGTAGATTCTCCCACTCACTTTAACACAGCTGGTCACTGGAATTCTTCATTCCAGACTCATATGGCCTTGTGTCTATATAGCAGATGCCCTCCCGTGGTGGGGGGCATGTCAGGAAGGACAGGACCACTCCTGGTGGTCCATCCATCTAGTGCCACCAGCAGACTTGGCGCAGAATGGAGCGTGAGCCTGCAGTGACGGCTTTCAAGTCCCGGGTGTGGCTGCACATGCCAGCTTCTGCCTTAATGTTGCTGGGCTGCCTGAGTGTGCGGCTGCCTCACTCACATGTGGCTCTGTGAGGTGTGTCCTGGAGAGTGTCACCAGGCACCAGCCGCCAACCCTGGAGCGGCCACCAAGGCACCCATAATGGCAGCACTTGTAGTTGGCACTCACATGCAGGAGAGTGATAGTTATAAGGTAGATTTCAGACTGAACTTACACAGTCTCTTCCCTTTTTCATGAACACTTTATTTTTTTAATAGATTGAAGAGAGATCACATTTTATAAGGCCTTTAGTTAATAAGACTCTTCTTTGTTTTGTGCTGTTCTTGTTGTAAATGTAATATGTCCCTGCCTGTCCAGGACAGGGTGTCATGGCAGTGCTCATTAGCACCTGCCTGGGAGCCTGGGCCTACGAGCACAGTTCACTTGACCCTCTGTCCTGGCCTGTGTCTGGTATGGATGAAAGGTTATCACAACCTGGAAGGAGTGGCTTGGCTGAGACCACAGCAGACTGGGACAGATGTAGATAGGCTCCTGACTAGGGATCTGGGCTCTGCCTAGGTTTTGTTGCCAACTCTTGCTTGTGTGTGCAGATGCAGGTCGATAGTAAAGCCATGTAGGACGTTGGGTGGGAGCAGCCCATGGGCCGTTTCCACTGTGGGTGGGGTCTGCACAGCCGGCTATGCTTTTTTCTAAGGGAGATGCTGTTTTTTAGAGTCAGAGCCCGTTGTGTGTCCATGGTCTGACATGACCTCTGGCTTCCATCTTACCATGTGAGTGATGACTGGCCAGAGAAGTGTGTTGTGTAGTTGGGTTCTGCCCACCTTCTCTCAAGGCCACCTCTTCTCTGTGGATTCTGGTGTCGACTGAGATACACCGCGTGGTGTTGTTGGGAACAATTCACAGAACTTGGCGTTCCTGGTAATTGGGGGGAGGGGTCCATGTCCAGATTCTTCTTTGATTGTAAAATATATTTTTACCTTTTAGCCTTCTAATTTAATAAGTGGTCCATATAAAAATAAATAAATAAAGTCCTTCAAGGGAATGTTTACCATTTTTGTTCTTGAGTGTTTTTTAATGTAGCTCATGCTATGCAGGAGTAATGAACCAGTCAGAGTAAATAAATTCAATCATTAATAACCTCATTACAGGGCTGTGTGAATGGAGACACTAAAAAGTGGACAGGAAGGCAGTGCTGGTGAAGAGGTTCCACACATGAACTGTGAGCACTCAGCATGGCAGTGGCAGCGGGCGTGGCTTTTAGTTGTGTTACTGGTCTCCATTACCGCGTGTTGTCTTGTGTCTTTGTGATTTCCTTGGTAGCTTCTCTTTACCAGACCATTTCAACTTGGGAGTGAGTTTTCTCAGAGGCCCGTTGTGACCCCTGACAAGAGTCACTGAGCCCCAAGTGATGACTGCCTCACACTTAGGGAGAGACTTAAACCAAAAACAAGCCATCCTTGAACACCAAAGCTATGCAGCTTGTGGTCTCTGCTCCCCATGCTGAGAAACAGCCACCTGCAGGCTGGGCACAGTGACTCAAAACTGTAATCCTAGCTTCTTGGAGGAGAGAGTGGGAGAATCAAGATTCAAGGCCAGCCCAGACAATAGTTAGCGAACAAGGACCCATCTCAGTCAATAAGCCATGCCAGGTAGTACGTCCCTCTGATGCCAGCTATGTGGGAAGTCGCAGGTAGCAAGGTCTGTCTGAGGCTGGCTCCAGGCAAAAAACGGACCTGATCCTACCTGAAAAATAAAGCAAAAAAAAAAAAAAAAAAATGGCTGGGGGTGTGGCTCAAGTGGTAGAGCACCTGCCTAGCAAGTACAGGGCCTTGCCTTCAAACCCCAGTACCACTAAAAAAAAAAAACACAGCCACCTGCTCACCTCATGCTCAGCCAGGGTGGGTGGTGCTGAGGGAGTGTTGATGTTACACTAGTATTTTCTGTCATTGTAGCTGTAAGTTGTGTGTTGCAACAGTGGCTGGCATGGCTTTCTCTGTCCAGTGCTGCCCTCTCCTTAAAGCAGGTGGGTGGGTGGGGCAGGCTGTCCCCACCTGTGTGTGTGCTACTGTTGTATCAGTGGGGGCCTCTGCCTTCTCCTGAGTGTAGTATTTCTGCAAATTGTGATCTTCCAGCTGTTAATTTGAATACCATGAATGTGTTTTTTTAATCCCCAAATGGCCAGTGAAAAGTTGTGTGTGTTAGTAGTAGATGTGGCAGAGAAAGAAGGACCCTTATTCCATCAAGCTCTTCTGTGACAAAATACGAAAGTGCTGGGGAAAAACAAATATTTTTCCTCTAAGTACAGAGCTGAGCTCATAAGAAAGTGGGAAAAGCCCTCACTGCATGGGGTTTCAGCAGGCTGGGAGAGGGTTTGTCTTCCATTTGTTGCTGGTTTCCCAGGATGTATCACAGAGCCCAGCACCGGGAGGCCCTCTGCGTATTTTGGATGGGTGAAGAGGCCTGACACCCTGGGGTGTGCAGGGTGTTATTTGACAGGCCAGGAGCCCTGTGCTCCAGCTGCCAGGACAGGACCTTGGCTATAGTCTTGTTGGAAAAGCAGTACCTTTGTCCTAAGGTCAAGCTAGACTAAAACCCACCAGAGAAACAGGAGAGGCACCTGCTAGAGCATATGGATTCACGACCTAGTCTCCTGGCCAGCTTGGAGCTTCATCCAGGAAGCCAACCTAAGTCTAGAAGAAAAAGTGTGTTCTTCCAGGAGGAACGCATAGTTGATGTGGGCCTCCCAGGATTCCGTCACTGACAGATGATCTCAATACAGGGTTGCAGTAAAACACTCAGAAATGGGGAAATAGCATTGGCAGGGGCTAGCAGAGGCAACCATAGCAGCCCAAGACCCTGGAGGCCCCCTGAACGGTGTGCCTGGTGCACTGTTTTTAGGTGGTTTTAGGCTTTAAAATACAGTGTAAGCAAAGACAAAATGAATCATAAGGGAATGGAAGGAATCAAGTGGAATGTGTAGGAGTGGAAGGAAGACACGAGCATCGGGTGAGCACTGTGCACTAGTGTCCACAGGTGGGGTCTGATCAAACAGCAAGCTGGAAGATGGAGCTGGAGGTCCCTGGAGAGCAGTGCAGAAAGGAGGGACCGTGGGAGGGAAGGACAAGGCCTGGCATCTCACTGAAGTCAGGATTTAGTGTCGGAGGTGGCGTTTCAAAGAACAGTGGCTGAGAACATCTTAGGACTGATAAGATATGAGAGTCACAGTGAGGCCCAGGGAACATAAAACGGGATCTGCCTTAACTGCATGAAACAGTGTGCTTCATGTAGAGGAAAACAATTTTATGTGGGCAGTTTGGACAGCAATGATAGGAAAGATGTGTCCAGTGATTGGAGTTGAGAGGGGAGACAGTAAACCTTAGTCTTGGAGTTAAGCTGCTTGCTAAATTTTCAGAACAGCCACTGAAATAGCGTGATCTCTGTACCACCATTAGGGCTCTGCAGTGGCTTCTTGTAGGCAGCCACATGTTCAGGCCTGTCACAGGTGGAGGTGCAAGGTGTCAGCTACCATAACTCTCTTGAGTCAAGTCCAGAAAGGTTACATGAGGCTCAAGTGGCATCCACTTGCTTCATCTTTTCATCTGAGCAGTTGGCCTTTTCTGGGTTCTGGGCTCTGGACTCTGGGCGCTCATATTCTACCCCAGGTGCAGTGTGGGTTTAATTTGTCAATTTCGGGTGTGCTTCGCCTTTCTTGCTTGTGACTGCTCTCACTGAACAGGCTGGGCAGCTGTGTGTCAGAACCAGCTGCTTAGCCTCCCTCCCAGTCGTGTGGGGCATGGTCCGGGGTCTGTCATGGGGTGGATGGACAGGAAGACCTGAGCCAGGTCTGTAGTACCTGACCCCACCCAGCCCTACCTAGTAGGGACCACGGCACTGTGTTGGATCCCCGGTGTCAGCCTCTGTACCAACACCCTTGGGATCCGGTGGTCTCCTCCCCTGTGCACACTGGGATAAATGGCCACGGGACCCCTTGGGAGGGCTTTCCATCCTTGAGGCTGACCTCAACCTTCACTGCCTAGTTCATGCTTATTTCTCAGTGTGCATGTCCTTGTCAGCTGACCTTGAGAACTCTGGTCCAAGACCTGTCACTACAGACCCTGCCAGCCAGGGCTCCCACGTGCTGTTTAGACCTTGCCCATCATGGGGGCTTCTGGCACTGCAGTGCTGCATGCTTCTGCTCTTGGGGCTCTATTGCTCTGAGAGCCCTATTACTGCTCAGGGAGCCTGACATCAAACATCTGTCTTCAGCCCCATCCTGCAGAGGACAGCTGCTCCATAGGTCCCCTCCCCTGTATTCATTACTGTCTTCTTCCAGGTCCTAACAAGGAGCAAGTATTAGCCTTTGTCCCTCCCTTGGGTCTCCACCTCGTGGGGACAGTTTGTTCCTGGCTTCCAGGAGCCAGATTACTTGCCAGGGTCAGTGCTGAGCGTGTCAGAAGGGAGGCAGCTCTCCCCAGCACAGGGCAGCATCTCTTGCTTCCTCGTGTTCTTCCTTTGCCCTGGGAAGAACATGCTGGTGTCCATCCCCAGACAGCAGGTCTGTGCTGGGCCCTGAGCTGTGTGAAACTCACTAGGACAGCATGTAGGTGGCATTGGTTCCCTGTGGCAAGTGGGTGGGTCAGGGCTTCACGGAAAAGTTTCCTTCAGTTGGTCACGAGAAGCATAGCACAAGGAGGGCAGAGCAGCACTTCTGATGCTGAGCAGAGAGCACTCCTCCTCCTCCTCCTTCCTCCCCCTCCTCCTTTTCTTGTTTGTTTGAGATCTCACTGTGTAACCCAGACTGGCCTTGAACTCACGATCCTCCTGCTTCAGCCTCCTTAGTGTGAGATCATAGACATACACCACCGTGCCCGGCTCTGAGCATCCACTTCTCAGGGGTGTATAGGGCTGTCACAGATCATCACCTTCTGTTCCTATCAACTGGGGTTTAACCAAGCCAAAACCATAAACCTCACTTGGGAGAATATGGGGAAGTGAAAAATTACAGCACAGAGGCCAGTTTCTACCCTGGCATGTGAGGCTGGTTTGCACCTGTTGCACAGGTGTTCAGGTGAGCTGCAGGTACAATCAATTCTACAGTGTGGTATACAATCCTGGGCATTCACCCCCAGGGCTAGTTGGGGCATCCACGCTGGCCTGACTCCAGGAACATTTGGAGGGTCAGATCCACCATGCAGGGAACCTCTTCCAATGGAGGGCACACAGCTCACCCCAGACCTTCAAAATACAGCACAGTCAGAGCTCTACTTCATGACACTCTAGGGACTGAGAACCTAATGGTGGAGATGAAGCTGTGGAGCTCGCAGGAAACAACCTGGAAGACAATGTTGCTGACCCCAGCATAGGGAAGGATTCCCTTAAAGGAGACCCAGAAGCACTAGCCATGAAGGAACGCACAGGTGAATTTGCATGTCAAGATGTTCAATTTCCATGTCCAGTCTGTAGTTTCTGGGGTGAATTTCCTCTGTGAGGACAATGGGATGCACTCCTGCTCTGCCCACACTTATTGTTTGCAAAAGCTGCTGCCCTCAGCTCAGCCTCCCTCAGGGGTCTGTGGAGGTGACCTTCTGAGCCCTTGTGTGCTCGGAATGGAACCCAGGGCCTTGGGCATGTCAGGCAAGTGCTCTACCATGGAGCTACACCCCATCCTCTTTGTCTCTCTTAAATGATAGATTAGACTCTCGTCCCTCTGTAGGTAAACCACCTCATTTTTCTGTCAGCTTTGACATTTTCTGTGCTCCTTGAAGATCTACAACATCATTACCGAGTATCTGGAAATGGGTGTATTTTTCTTCATTTCTCTCACACTCATTGGGTGCTTCCAGCCTAAGAGCTCCTCTTACTTCTGAAAGATTGTTATCCATTCCACAAGTGACTCTCTCTGTTCCTTCTTTTGGAGCTCAAGAGAAAAATGTTGAAACTTCTGATTGGTCATCCATCTCATTCTACTATATCTGTGAACCTGGAATGCATGGTCTTTTATCCCTTTTCCCTAACTGAGCTTTGGGTCTCTCAGAACCCTGGAGGGGCTTAGTGATTTGGGGCTAAATGTACATTTTCTGTAAGGAAGGGCTTTGAGCCTGCTGTCTCCAGAGGCATTTCGTTTTCAAGCAGGGTGTCTGTCTGCTTTTCACACTTCACTGTTTGGTTTTGCTTTTTATTTGGGAAAGAGATGCCCCTTTTCCAATCTGGAAACCAGCAATCCCTTTTAAGACATATTTAAAGTCTGAGTAGTGTTGTTTTGTTCGTTGCACCACTTTTTAGCCTTCTGTCCCCTGGGGCAGCACTTGAACTGTGTGGTTTAGAGAGGACCTGAGTCCATCTGCCTGGTTGAAGCCAGCCATGGCCTTCCTGAAGCAAGTTTTCTCATCTCTTTGTGCCTCAGTTTCCCCACCTGTAAAATGGAAGCAGCCATAGCACTTACAGCTTAGGACCATGGTCAGGATTAGAGAATGGACCCCTGGTGCCCAGGAGACCTTGGCATGTAAGCATATCCCTGGGTCCCAGGTGATGGCACCGTGGAGTGACCAGGGTCAAGGAAATGTTGTTTTGCATGTGTCTTAAGGAAGACCCAGATAGGGAGTGACTGGCCACAGTCCTTATGAAGTCAGACCCCAATGCATGGTAAACTTGGAGAAGCTGACCCCAGGGGCTTCCTGCTGCCCAGCAGAACACCTGCAACCTCATCAACCCCTGAATCATGTCCTGCCAGGGGCCAGGTTCCAGGGTGGCTTGCCTGCCAGATGTCACTGAGTGGGTAGGAAAGGCTGGAGCATTGGCAATACCCAAGAGGGGGAGCTAGGCCCTTTTCCTCACTCCTTACCCCACCCCAGGAGCAGGGCCTGACCTCAGCCATATTCTGGGGAATAGGACAGCCTATAGCAGAAGCTCCACTGCTCACCTCCCCATCTCAGAGGCTTCCTTGGCAAGTGGCTTGCACTGCCTTTGCCTCCCAAATCACGACCTCTGTGACTATTCCTCATCCCCTTGGAGGTCATTTCTCACCCTTTCTGTGCAGCCAAACCCAAAGTAGCCTCTATCCTACATCTTGTATGGATGTCCATCTGCTGCCCTCAGTCCTAGCCGTTGATCACTACATGTCCTGCCATATGCATGGAATGTTCTCTGTCTGGAAAGAAGGACAGAAAGAAGGGCAGAAGCCCCTGCCTCATGGGCAGAGATGAGGACATGTGCAGCAAGCTGATTAGTGACAGGTGTCCTGAAGAAAATGTATCTTGGAAGGTATGGTGGAATGTAGAGTCCCAACACCCACTGTAGCCCCTTGGGGTCAGAGTAGCACTGTGCAGTACCCCCTACTTGGAGCAGCAGCCTCTGCACTAATTGGTACCTGGGTGGCCCCCTTAGCTTTGGGTTACACCAACTGTGGGAGCTGCCCCTGTGTTTTCCGGAGGCTAGGCTGGGATCTGCTCCTGCCCATGTACTCATAGCCTGAGACCAGCCCCTTGCGGTGCCCAGGGGCCTGTGGGTAGCTCAGCAGCCCCCCTACCCCCACCTGTCCCTCTCAACAGCTCTCTGGTCCCATAGATAGTCTGGCTCCACCCCCAGCAACTGGAACCACAAATTGGGAGCCTGGAGCAGAGTTGGCAGGAAAAGACACCAGGACGAAACACACACAGTGCCAGGGTTTATTTCAGCTTGGGACTGGGTAAACAGAGGGTGCTTGGGGTGCTGGCCTCTCTCCACCCCAGCTCCAGTCCCCTCCAGTAGGCCACAGGACCCAGACATAGCAGACAGCTACCTTGCCTGACACAGCTTCCTGGCAGCTGGACTTGCCTAGACAGGCCCTTGTCTGCCCTCAGGCGTGTGTGATGGCTGGCAGAGAATTGTGCTGTCGGGGGGTGGTGGCCTTTATGGCGAGGAGCAGCACTGCAGCAGCTTCTTAGCTTTGCTGCAGGGCATCTCATTGCCATCACGGAGTAGTGAGGCTGGTCTGGGTGCGCGCTGTGCTTCAGGTAGAATGGGGCCTGATGGCAGGTGGCCGAGACAGGTCAGAGGGTCTCCAAGTCAGGATCCCCACTTGGCACCCTCCTCAATGAATTCTTACGGGTCCATCACCCCCCTGGATTGCTAGTCTCACTGCAAGGCAGGTGAAAGGTGGGAGTCACAGAGGGTTCACCTGGGCTCTATGAGGCTGGCCCACCTATTTCTGTGGTCAGTGATGCACATTCTGGCTCCAAGTGGAGGGGCATGGGGGATGGGGGGAAGAGTGTTTTTCAGCAACGGCCCCTAGACATAGGTATACATGGGTGCCATGGGCGGGGGATTGCAGGACAGAGTGCAGCTGCACTCGTCCACTTGGTTGTATGTGTACTGGATGGTCGTGCTGTTGGAACAGCGCATGGTCACAGTCTCCTGATGGACCCTGCTTTCCTGGCAGCAGGTGCATTGGTGTTCCATGGCCTGGGCCTCCATGGAGTACCTGCAGACACAGCAGGGCAGCCTGTTAGCCCCAGGCTCCTCTCAGCACTACAGCAAATCCTGGGCCTCCAGGGCTCTCACCAGCTGTCCCATCTGTCCACAGTGGTCTGGATGCTCTCTGAGCACATGGGTTTCCCTTGTTTTGGGCTCTGTGGGTTCTCAGGATCACTTTGAGCCCCACTGTCCTTCTGTAGCCTCCCATGGCTCACTCCTTCCTGACCATCTCCATCTTGCTGGTCCTGGGCAGACCCTCCTCCATAGCTGACCCAACCCTTCCTCCCACATATTCTGGCCCAAGGTTCCAACCTTCTTGGCCAACCTGGTCCAGGGCCAGGTTTACAGCCAACCATGGCCCAGGGCCATCTGGGGGATCCACCAGGAGCTCCAATTCTGCCTGCCCCTCCCTACATGGACCATGCCTCTTGACAAGGATCCACAGCCAAGGTGCTCCATCCCACATGGCTGATCCCTGCCTGACCAGTAGGTCGACCCTAGGCTTTGTGCAAGTGAACATGGAAAGAGAGGCCTGCTGGGAGACCCCTCCCCTCCTTTCAGTCTCAGGTAGTCTCCTGACCCAGGGCAGGATGGCTGGCCAGCAGACAGGCTCTAGGTGGCCACCAGCTCTGCCACATTCTCAGAGAGGTGAGGTGCGCACTCACTTGGACAGTCCAGGGCAGGAGCCCTTGCAGAAGGTGACATTGACCAAGGCCTCTGTTGCACAGTCCTGCTTTCGCAGAGTGGTCATGTTGGAGTGTACTTGGCACTGGGAAGAGTCTGGGAAGAGATAAGCAGGTACTGAGACCTCAGTTCTCACTCTGAAGCATGGGCCTGGAGCAGTCAGTCATGCATGACCTCCCTCCTGTTACCCTGCGAGTGAGTGAGATCTGGGAGTCAGGATCCCACTGCCAGTGGGAGAAGTCTGGGCAGCTGCCACAGGAATCAACAGGTGGAGTCTTGATGGAGTTAGAGGGCTGGGAGGGAGGCAGCCTCAACTTACCTACTTTATCACAGGAGTAGCAGCAGCCAGTTTTCCTGAGGATCCCCTACAGAGCCAAGGATGGGGAGGGTTGGGACAGAGCTAGGATGTTGGCTGGGTGTGGGGATGGGGACATGGGGCAGAGCTGATGGGGTGGGGGTGGGGCCTCCTGGGTATGGCACATACCCTGCATTCTGAGACATCCTTGCAAACCGTGGGTTGTGGGATCAGCAAATAGACCCCACTCACGGCCTCACAGCGGTACTCAGTGCAGTTGCCCACATGGCTGTTGACCCAGGTTTTGTTGAGCTGAAAAGCAAGATGGAGAGTGGAGGCCCTGGTGGGGATTAGCTCATGGGTCCAGCCTTGCTGGGCTGAGGGTCTCCCAGTAAGGGGCTGAGATCCTCCCCATAGCCCTCTCCTGTTACCTGCACTGGCAAGCCATCCGGTGTGAGGCAGGCATTTGGCACACACTCCCCACAGCACTGCCCGGCCACCCTTGAGTACTCAAAGCCCTGTGGGGACAGGAGGGTGGTGAGATCCCTCCTCCAGACAGCCACCCTCCTGACTACACCCAGGGGGCCTCCTTGGCAGGACCTGCTAAGAGACCATGTCCCTACCTAGCACCACATCCCATTCCCGATTTTCTTGGCATAGCCTCAACCCCACTTCCTGCACCTTCTGTCTATTGCTGCCCTCCTGAAGCCTGATCTTTCCCCCTGTCCCAGGTCCCTCACAGGTGGCTGACCCTGTTCCTCAGACCCTATCACCTTCCTGCTTGTTTTTCCCTTTGGGAAAAGGCAAGACCCCATCAGAGGCTGAGCTGGAGGGACCCTCTGGTGACAGGGCTGCCACAGGGGGGCATTTGGGAGCTGGATCTGCCCAACAGCAGGCTCACCTGGGAGCAGGTGGTGGTGCAGACCTCCTTCTCACAATGGACTGTCGGGTCCTGGTTGTCCACAGAGAGGCAGGTGCACAAGTGGCAGGGAGTGATTCCTGGGAAGTTTGCACCAACCTGCAGTGGACAAGCAGTAGCACCAAAGGCACAAGGTAAGACACAAGGAGCCGTCTGGGTGCCAGACTGGGCCTTTTTGTTTTTCCCTCAGAGTATGGATGTGCCCCTGGCTGAGCACAGTCCTGGAGCTGGCAGGGACTACAGTGGGTGAAGACTCTAGGTAGTGTGTCCTGCCCCACACTCCTACTGGAGACCTGAAGCTGAGCCCTCACAGGTGGCGGGTATGGTGGCCTGTTTTTACACAGCTCTGGATAGAAAGGGCCGCCCTGTGTCCTGGCTCTCAAGAGCCCAGAGCTGCGTTGCTGATCTGCCCTCATAGCAGAGATGTTGAGACAAGGAGTGGAACTCAGAGGGACGCCAGTTCTCACCCGCCTGAGCCTGGGTCAGACCCTGCCCCACCCTGCCTGGGCTGAGTCCTTACCCCATAGACGGTACCATTGTATGCACACAACTTAGGATCTGAAAGGAAAAGGGGGTGGAATGTGGCCTGGAAGAGCCAGAAACCCATGCTCTTCCCGGTCCTGAGCCCCACCAGTCAGGTCCAGACCAAGGGACCACACCCCTGCCCCATCCCAGCCCTGCTCTGCCCCACTCACGGCAGCTGAAACTGGGGCAGCAGGCACCCTCCTCCTGGGTTCTTATCAGGTCCTGCCCTGGGCCACACTCAGGCGGGCTCTGGGGGCAAGTGGTCGTGTTGCACACTGTGGAGAGTTGGCCCTGTCAGGGTGCTGCCCAACCTGCCTGACCTTCACTCCTTCCCCCTAGCCCCCATGGCCAGCCAGGACACAGCCCTCTGGTATCCATTGACAGGTGCTGGCTCTGCTCTGTTCCTCCCCCACCTCTGCCCAGCAGGCACTCACCACACAGTGTCTCAGGGCAGCATGGGTTGTCAGCCTGGGGCCTGGTCAAGTTTACAAAGCCGGGCTGTCCACATTGCAGGGGTTGGTCCTGGGTCTCGCACTGCACTGGCTTGCACTGCACTGACACTGAGCTCACCTCACACTCGCAGGTCTGGCAGTTGCTGACCCACTGCTCTCCCGGCTAGAACAGACCAAGTCAGGGTCTCCCTGGGGCCAGGGCCAGGCCCAGGAGAAGGTATCCAGCCCCTCCAGCTAGTCTTGGCACTAAGTCAGGCCCCCACCCTCAGCATGACTTGCCCTCTGCTGCCTGGGTTAACAGAGCCAAGAAGGATTCATGAGAGCCTGTGCCAGTTCCCCTGGGCTGTGGGCAGAGCTGGCCACATGAGAAGGGGCTACTGTCTACCATCCTCCCTCCCTCAGCTCAGGTAGCAGGGGAAGGTTGGTGAAGAACCACTCACAAATTTGGGAAGCCCATCAGGTCCCATGCAGGCTAGAAGGAAAAGAGAGAAGTCTTTGGAGATGCTGGGCCTCTAGCCAGGCAGAGTGGGTCCCAGGCTTTGGGAACTGTGCCACCCTTGACCCCAGGCCAATGTCTCTGTCTTCCTGCCAGGATGAAACAGAAGCCCCCTGGGACCTCTCAGGCTGTCAGGCCAACAGGATTGGTTGGGGTTGGGATGCAGAAAATTTAGCTCTCCAGGGGTCCTTGCCAGTCAGTTCCAAGCCACAAGGCTCAGGACAGGGACAGTGACAGGTTCACAGAGGCCTTTGGGGCTCTGCAGGGCTCAAAGCTTCTCCGTGATTGTCTCATATGACAACCAGGTAAAACAAGGCCCAAGATGTGTGGGGCCCTGGCTATGCAGGCAAGGATGGCCCTGTGAAGGTGGGGGGATGCATCCAGCAGTGGATGGAGAATACTTACGACACTCAGACACACAGATGTCCCTACTTGAGCTGAAGAGGAGCTGACCATCAGGACAGAAGCAGCCCTCGGCCAGCCCCGAGGTATTCAGGGAGGCCTGGGTCCTGCCGGATAAGAAGACAGGCCTCTGAACCCATGACCAACAGTCAAGGAAGGGTCTGAGGTCACCCATGTGCTGTGGTCAGAGGTTGGGGATGGGCTTCCTTCCTAGGCTCAGCCTGTAAGAGGTCAGGAGCTCAGGCACAAGGGAGGGTATTCCTGGGAGTCCTGAGGTTATGGGTGCCCACAGGACTCAGGCTTAGAAATGCAGCCTGTCCTTGGGTCTCCTCTCCCTTCTAAGATCCTTCAGACAGAGGAAGGCCGGAGATGCTTCTGCCCTGGGGTCCCCACCACCCAGCGGCCCTTACCTGGAGTCACAGGACTCCGGCTGCACAGAGCTGCATGGCTTGTACACCTTGGTGGAAGGGCAGGGGAGGTCTGTAGGCACAGAGATGGGTGTCAGCATCAGATGGGCCTTGGAGGCTGGAGCCCCAGGACCGTCCCAACTCACCGCACAGCCCACTGGTGGCGTTGCGCCAGTCTGTGCACACGCCCCTGGCACGGCAGAGTGCTGCATAAGCCTCCAGGCTCTGGCAGAGGTCCTTGGTGCTTTTGTCCTGGCAGCTATCGCTGACGCAGGCGTTGAAGAAGGAGCCAGGTGGGACGAGGCTGTGGCACTTAGCGAAGACCCTACAGAAGGGGGTGGTCACGCCCAGGAGCTCAGTGTCCAGCAGGGAGCCTGGGCCAGGGGGGCTGCTGCCCAGGTCCACCACCCCAAAGCCAAGGACTCACTGGTTTAGCAGTAGCTCACAAAGAGGCTTGGAGGAGCATGGGGTAGTGAAAGTGACTGTGGTGGACACGGAGGGCTGGGGGCTGGTGCTCGGGGCTGGGCTGGGCAGTACTGGGCAGCCCTCCCCAGAAACCTTCCAGTGTTTGGCCATGTGCCTGCAGGTGGGGGCCATGGTGCCATCTGGCCTGCGGCAGTCGTCCTGCTTGCTGTTGGTGCAGGTACCTGGGAAGTGACGGGGCTACCATCAGCCTCTCACTGTCTCCCCCATCTCTGTTCCCCCACCTTTTATGGAGGCCTGGGGAGGCATTTGCAGGGGAGGGGGGTGTACCCAGAGCTGGTGGGGCTCAGGGAGTGTGGCCAAGAGCCAGGCTGTACCCACTCACCACACTGGCCCTCTGTGTTGTGGTTAAATTGGCTATAAGACAGCCGGACCTGGAAGATGCGCCCATCGAAGGTGACGCTCACACCAATGGCGGGAATGTTGACGCTCATGGTGGCCCCAGTCACAGATACGCTCACACCGTTTTTGCTGATGCCACGGCTCAACCGCACTTGGTCAAATAGGATCTGGCAATGTCCAAGGGGACCCATTACCAGGGGCAGGGCCAGGCAGCAATGGGAGCTGCCCATATGCTGGGAATGCTCCTGTGTATTCCCTACCCCAAAGCTTGGATTTGGGGGCATGCTCTGCCCCCCATGGTCCTTCCCTGCTCCCCTGAGGGCTGCCTCAGATAGAAGGGAGCACAGGACTCTGGTCCCGGGGGCACCTGGCCGCTGACTCTCTTGCCGCCACACCTGAGCCCTGTGGCAGGGAGGGGCCACTCTACCTGCCACACAGACTCACCACACTCTCCCTCTTCCCGCTGGTGGTGGAAGTGGTGAGTATGATCTCCATGGATTCGTAGTGCACTTGGAGGGCACGGGGGCAGCTGGCAGCTTCAGCGGCAATGCTGCAATAGCGGTTGTGAATGAGGATGGTCAAGTTCCCGTGTGTAGGGTTGATCTCTCTCATGAGAACGTAGGTGCAGTTGTCGGAGAAGGTGTAAGAGGTGCCGTCAAATGTGGAGTAGTGTGACTGCCCCCATCCAGTGCAGAGGCCTGCAGGACACAACAGGCTGGAGGCCCCTTTCTCAGCCTTGCTACCCAGGGCCACCACCAGAAATGCCACCTCAGATGCCACGCAAACCCCTGCCTCATCTATAAAATGAGTCATGAGTTGAATGGTGTCCTCCAAACCAGGTCTGTGGGACCTGCAAATGTGACTTATTGGAAGATTGTCTTTGCATATGACTAAGTGAAGCATCTCGAAATGGAATCATCCAGAATTAGATTGGGCACTAAATCCAATGGCAGTGTTCCTATAAGTGACAAATGGGAAGACATGGACTAGAGCAGATGGTCATGAGAAGACAGGCAGAGATTGGAGCGATGAAGCTACAAGCCAAGGAACACCTGGAACCCCCAAACTGAGAAAGATAGAAAGGATCCTCCCCAGACCTGGCCAGCCTGGATCCAGCCTCGGGGACGTAAGATACGAAGTGTCTGTGTCTTAAGTCCCTGTTTGGAGTCATTCACTTCAGTGTCCTGTGCACTCAGTAATGGAAACTGGTTATTAGGGCCCCAGGAAATGAGCCCCTCTGAGCACCCTGCTTGCACCTTTGTCCTTCCCTGATCCCTGTGCCATACCTGCATTCTCAGCCCTCCCCATGGACTCAGTGCCTGCAGGTCAGGAGAACAGGCACGTGTGCTGTCCAACTTACCTCCAATGCCCCAGCCACACCCTGACCCCACAGTATGGCCTCCCATGCCCAGTGCCTGCTCACACTCGCACTCGTAGTGGAAGCGACAGGGTTGGCCCTGGTCCCACACTTTGACGGGCAGGTGCTCGTTCACACAGGTGACATTGGCCACGGGCTCTGGCTCCAAGAGGATGACATGGTTGTTTCCTTCACATCTAGCCACTGTGCAGTTCTCCAGGATCCAGGTCTCATTCACCTGGAGCAGTGGACATGAAGGGTGCTTACTTGGAGCAGCTCTCAAGGGTCCAGGCCCAGCACTCCAGCCCTGCCTGGCCTCCTGCCTGGGGTCCTCATGGCTCAGAGTCCCAGCTCGTGCTGACCAAGACCACAGATCCCATGTACCTCCCACCAACTAGAGCTAGCAGGGTAGGGGGTCTCTGAGACAGGCCAAGGGGCTGAGGTGGTGCTTAGTGTTGGTCTCAGCTCAGCTTGCATGGCAGTCCTGACCTAAGGCTACCTTCAGTGGCTCAAGCTGTGTCATGTTAAAGGGAGAGGGAGGGAGAAGGGAGGCCTACCTGTCGAGGGGGGACTGCATTATCACAGCCAGGGGGAAGGGAGGGTGTGAGAACAGGGGTGGAGGACACTGGAGGTGAGGAGGAGGGGCAGGCATCCTGAAAGCGGTCAATGTCACAGTGTTGGTTGCAGACAGCATAGAAGTGGCAGCCAGCTCTGTCAGTCCTATTGTAGATGATGTCCCCTGTGAAGGAGAAACCATAAAAGGACAGCCGTACACCAGCTGACCAGGCAGGTAACCTTAGGAGAAGTCAGGACAGGAGGGGCAGTCATGGAGTGGATTGGTGTTGGCTAAGGGCAGAAAGAACTGAGTGTGGACCGCAGGGAAGGGGCCCCAAATCCCAAGGCAGAGACCCCCAGGTTGATAGGGACAGGGGGCAGGGGTGTGTGGCCTTCACTCACCAGGTGAGAACAGGTGTCCAAATGCCCGGCAGAAGCAGGGTGATGGGGAAAAGGGCGGGCTGGAAAAGGTGGTGGGCCCGAGGGTACTGAGGCCCATGGGAGATGCAGTGGATACACTGAAGGTCAGCAGGCTGCTCGGGGGAACTGCAGGTGTGCGTGAAGTCCTCGGGGAGAAAGAGAGGGGCATGGTAGAGCTGGTGGCCATGGGTGAGGTGGCCCTGGTGGTCAGCTCTGGTGGTATCTGAGTGGACCCTGGCATGGAGGAAGGAGTAGCTGTGGAGCCAGTGGGCGTGGGTGAGGTGGCCCTGGTGGTCAGCTCAGGTGGTGTGTGAGTGGATCTTGGCATGGCAGTTGGGGCTGCAGTAGAGCCAGTAGCCTTGGGTAAGGTGGTTTTGGTGGTGAGCTTGGGTGATAGATGAGTCAACCCTGGTGTGGAAGTAGGGACTATGGTGGAGCCAGTGGCCATGGGTGAGGTGGACCTGGTGGTCAGCTCAGTTGACATATTAGTGGATCCTGTTGCGGAGGTGGGAGCCATGGTGGAGCTGCTGGCAGCAGATGTGGTGGTGCAGTGGCTGTAGTCTTCACAGCATAGCACACGCACTTGGAAGTTGTTGCAGTACTGCAGGGGCCCAGGCTGGTCGAGGTTTCTGCACACCAGTCCAACATGCACATCGCACTGAACCACCTGCTCCAGGGCCGCCAGTGGTTGGTCTGGATAGTTCTCTGAGCGGCACTGGATATCCTGTGGGTGCTCGCAGAAGAGGTTGCCAGCTTCACGGAGTACAGCATATGTCTCAAAGTCACCACCATTGGCTCCAGGAGTGGGGTAGTCCTCATCCATCCAGTCTGTCCAAATGCATTGAGGCCTGCAGGCCGTGGACCTATCCCATGAGGGTGTGAGGCTTTTGGTCAGCAGGGGTGAGGTCTGAGTCTTACTGGGAGTTTCTGAGGCTGTAGAGGCAGTCATGGTGAAGACCGTGGTGGTCACCCCAGGAGAAGGGACTGACTCAGTCACCTTGGTGCTGGTAGGTGTGCTGGATGTGCCCCAAACTGTAGATATGGCAGTACTGGATGGTCCAGGTGAGGTCTGGGAGGTGAAGGTGGGTGACCCTGTAGCCTGTGAAGTGCCTGTGGGTGTCGCTAATGGTGTTGTGATGGAGCTGGTGGCCATGGTTGAGATGGTCCTGCTGGTCAACCCTGGAGGTGTGTGAGTGGATCCCAGAGAGGAGGAGGACGTAGTGGAGCCCGTGGTCATAGGCAAGGTGCCAGAGGAGAGGCTGGTCTGAAAGGAGGCCCTGGTGCTAGAAGACCCAGGGGTGGTACTGACAGTCCTCACATGAGCAGTGGGAGGAGGGCTTTGCAAGGTTGTCCTGGAGGTTAAGTTTGGGGTCTCCGTGGTCGTCTGCCCTGTGGTGTAGAGAAGGCTGGAGGTGGAGGCTGGGAGGGCAGAGGGGCTAGGGACAGACGACCACTCAGTGATCCTGTGGGAAGTGAAGGGTGTCTGGGTGGTGGAGATGGACACGATCCCCCTGCTGGTCCCTGTGGAGGAGGTGCTGGTCTGGGACAGGCCTGGAGATGTGGACCTTGACACCATCGACGACCACAAGCTTGTGGTGGGAGACGTGTTGGAGGTGGTGCTGGACAATGCAGGCACCGTGGTGCTGGGGCAGTGACTGTAGTCACAGCAGAGCACACGCACGTTGTAATTGAAACACATGCTGAAGTCATCTATCTGGTCCTCGTTCCTGCACACCAGCCCCGTCTCCAGGCTACAGGTGACAACCTGCCCGATCTGGTCGATACTAACCTCCGGGTAGTTCTCTGCCCGGCACTCTATCTTCTCTGGTGCCTGGCACAGCTTGCCCCCTGCAGCCCTGATGTTTTCGTAAGTCTCCATGTCACCGTCTGCCACCGAGGTCGGAAGTCCACATCAAACCATTCAGTCCACTTGCACTTGGGTTGACAAAGGGTTGTGCTCTGGCTGGTGCTGGCCTCAGTCGTGGTGCCTGGTGTCACCCGTGTCCTTGGTGTGCTGATCTCGGTCTGTAAGGTGGGCTGCTGGCTTATGCGTGTTGTCAGTGCCGGGCTTGTGGTCAGAGTCTCTGTGGGGACGGTGCCAGCCGTGCTGGTCCACGCTCCTGGTTTAGAGCCAGTCATGGACGTTCGTGCTGTTGTTGAGGCTGGAGTGGATGGTTGCAAGGAGCTCCCTGTGGTCTTGAACGTTGAAAGGATGGACGTGGTCTCTCCTGGTTGGGTGGTTCCCGTGGGGCCCAGAGGGGTCTTAGGGCTTCTTGTGGTGGATGTAATGGGAGTCTCTGTGAGTCTGGCGGATGTTGGTCCTTCCGAGATGCTGGTAGATGCTGTGGTACTAGGTCTCGTCTGCAGGGTGGTCTCTTTGGTTGATGTGGTGTGGGTGTGGCTGGTCAGGGATGCAGGGGGTGTCGTCCTGGTGGTGAGCGTGGACATGGGGGACTCTGTGGTGGACCCAGAGTGGGAGGGTCCTGTGTGGGGACTGCTGGGGGACCGAAAGGGCCCTTGGGAGGTGACTCTTGTGGTCAGCACGGGTGGAGTGAGGGATGTCTCAGGGTTGGTGGAAGGGGGTATAGCAGAGCCAGTGGTCACAGGCGAGGTAGCCCTAGTGGTCAGCACTAGGGTGCTGTGGGCAGAGGAAGAGGGTATGTTGGAGCCCGTGGTCATGGGCAAGGTGCCAGAGGAGAGGCTGGTCTGAAAGGAGGCCCTGGTGCTAGAAGTACCAGGGGTGGTACTGACAGTCCTCACATGAGCAGTGGGAGGAGGGCTTTGCAAGGTTGTCCTGGAGGTTAAGTTTGGGGTCTCCGTGGTCGTCTGCCCTGTGGTGTAGAGAAGGCTGGAGGTGGAGGCTGGGAGGGCAGAGGGGCTAGGGACAGACGACCACTCAGTGATCCCGTGGGAAGTGAAGGGTGTCTGGGTGGTGGAGATGGACACGATCCCCCTGCTGGTCCCTGTGGAGGAGGTGCTGGTCTGGGACAGGCCTGGAGATGTGGACCTTGACACCATCGACGACCACAAGCTTGTGGTGGGAGACGTGTTGGAGGTGGTGCTGGACAATGCAGGCACCGTGGTGCTGGGGCAGTGACTGTAGTCACAGCAGAGCACACGCACGTTGTAATTGAAACACATGCTGAAGTCATCTATCTGGTCCTCGTTCCTGCACACCAGCCCCGTCTCCAGGCTACAGGTGACAACCTGCCCGATCTGGTCGATACTAACCTCCGGGTAGTTCTCTGCCCGGCACTCTATCTTCTCTGGTGCCTGGCACAGCTTGCCCCCTGCAGCCCTGATGTTTTCGTAAGTCTCCATGTCACCGTCTGCCACCCCCGAGGTCGGAAAGTCCACATCAAACCATTCAGTCCACTTGCACTTGGGTTGACAAAGGGTTGTGCTCTGGCTGGTGCTGGCCTCAGTCGTGGTGCCTGGTGTCACCCGTGTCCTTGGTGTGCTGATCTCGGTCTGTAAGGTGGGCTGCTGGCTTATGCGTGTTGTCAGTGCCGGGCTTGTGGTCAGAGTCTCTGTGGGGACGGTGCCAGCCGTGCTGGTCCACGCTCCTGGTTTAGAGCCAGTCATGGACGTCCGTGCTGTTGTTGAGGCTGGAGTGGATGGTTGCAAGGAGCTCCCTGTGGTCTTGAACGTTGAAAGGATGGACGTGGTCTCTCCTGGTTGGGTGGTTCCCGTGGGGCCCAGAGGGGTCTTAGGGCTTCTTGTGGTGGATGTAATGGGAGTCTCTGTGAGTCTGGCGGATGTTGGTCCTTCCGAGATGCTGGTAGATGCTGTGGTACTAGGTCTCGTCTGCAGGGTGGTCTCTTTGGTTGTTGTGATCTGGGTGTGGCTGGTCAGGGATGTAGGGGGTGTCGTCCTGGTGGTGAGGGTGGACAGGGTTGGCTCTGTGGTGGACCCAGAGTGGGAGGGTCCTGTGTGGGGACTCCTGGGAGACAGAGACTGTACTTGGGAGGTGGCTCTGGTGGTCAGCACTGGAGTGGTGTAGGAACTCTCAGGCTTGGAGGAAGAGCGTATAGTGGATCCAGTGATCACAGGTGAGGTGGCCCTGGTGCTCAGCACTGATGTGGTGTGGACAGAGAAGGGAAGCGTGGTAGAGCCAGTAGCCTTGGTCAAGGTGATCAGTGTTTTGGGAGCATGTGTAGTCACTGGGATCGAAGAGGGTGTTGTGATGGAGCTGGTGGCCATGGTTGAGATGGTCCTGCTGGTCAGTCCTGGAGGTGTGTGAGTGGATCCCAGAGTAGAGGAGGAAGCCATAGTGGAGCCCGTGGGTGTCTGGGTGGTGGAGATGGACACGATCCCCCTGCTGGTCCCTGTGGAGGCGGTGCTGGTCTGGGGCAGGCCTGGAGATGTGGACCTTGACACCATCGACGACCACAAGCTTGTGGTGGGGGACGTGTTGGAGGTGGTGCTGGACAATGCAGGCACCGTGGTGCTGGGGCAGTGACTGTAGTCACAGCAGAGCACACGCACGTTGTAATTGAAACACATGCTGAAGTCATCTATCTGGTCCTCGTTCCTGCACACCAGCCCCGTCTCCAGGCTACAGGTGACAACCTGCCCGATCTGGTCGATACTAACCTCCGGGTAGTTCTCTGCCCGGCACTCTATCTTCTCTGGTGCCTGGCACAGCTTGCCCCCTGCAGCCCTGATGTTTTCGTAAGTCTCCATGTCACCATCTGCCACATCTGTGGTTGGGAAGTCCACATCAAACCATTCAGTCCACTTGCACTTGGGTTGACAAAGGGTTGTGCTCTGGCTGGTGCTGGCCTCAGTCGTGGTGCCTGGTGTCACCCGTGTCCTTGGTGTGCTGATCTCGGTCTGTAAGGTGGGCTGCTGGCTTATGCGTGTTGTCAGTGCCGGGCTTGTGGTCAGAGTCTCTGTGGGGACAGTGCCAGCCGTGCTGGTCCACGCTCCTGGTTTAGAGCCAGTCATGGACGTCCGTGCTGTTGTTGAGGCTGGAGTGGATGGTTGCAAGGAGCTCCCTGTGGTCTTGAATGTTGAAAGGATGGACGTGGTCTCTCCTGGTTGGGTGGTTCCCGTGGGGCCCAAAGAGGTCTTAGGGCTACTTGTGGTGGATGTAATGGGAGTCTCTGTGAGTCTGGCGGATGTTGGTCCTTCCGAGATGCTGGTAGATGCTGTGGTACTAGGTCTCGTCTGCAGGGTGGTCTCTTTGGTTGATGTGGTGTGGGTGTGGCTGGTCAGGGATGCAGGGGGTGTCGTCCTGGTGGTGAGCGTGGACATGGGGGACTCTGTGGTGGACCCAGAGTGGGAGGGTCCTGTGTGGGGACTGCTGGGGGACCGAAAGGGCCCTTGGGAGGTGACTCTTGTGGTCAGCACGGGTGGGGTGAGGGATGTCTCAGGGTTGGTGGAAGGGGGTATAGCGGAGCCAGTGGTCACAGGCGAGGTAGCCCTAGTGGTCAGCACTAGGGTGCTGTGGGCAGAGGAAGAGGGTATGTTGGAGCCCGTGGTCATAGGCAAGGTGCCAGAGGAGAGGCTGGTCTGAAAGGAGGCCCTGGTGCTAGAAGACCCAGGGGTGGTACTGACAGTCCTCACATGAGCAGTGGGAGGAGGGCTTTGCAAGGTTGTCCTGGAGGTTAAGTTTGGGGTCTCAGTGATCGTCTGCCCTGTGGTGTAGAGAAGGCTGGAGGTGGAGGCTGGGAGGGCAGAGGGGCTAGGGACAGACGACCACTCAGTGATCCTGTGGGAAGTGAGGGTGTCTGGGTGGTAGAGATGGACACGATCCCCCTGCTGGTCCCTGTGGAGGAGGTGCTGGTCTGGGACAGGCCTGGAGATGTGGACCTTGACACCATCGACGACCACAAGCTTGTGGTGGGAGACGTGTTGGAGGTGGTGCTGGACAATGCAGGCACCGTGGTGCTGGGGCAGTGACTGTAGTCACAGCAGAGCACACGCACGTTGTAATTGAAACACATGCTGAAGTCATCTATCTGGTCCTCGTTCCTGCACACCAGCCCCGTCTCCAGGCTACAGGTGACAACCTGCCCGATCTGGTCGATACTAACCTCCGGGTAGTTCTCTGCCCGGCACTCTATCTTCTCTGGTGCCTGGCACAGCTTGCCCCCTGCAGCCCTGATGTTTTCGTAAGTCTCCATGTCACCGTCTGCCACCCCCGAGGTCGGAAAGTCCACATCAAACCATTCAGTCCACTTGCACTTGGGTTGACAAAGGGTTGTGCTCTGGCTGGTGCTGGCCTCAGTCGTGGTGCCTGGTGTCACCCGTGTCCTTGGTGTGCTGATCTCGGTCTGTAAGGTGGGCTGCTGGCTTATGCGTGTTGTCAGTGCCGGGCTTGTGGTCAGAGTCTCTGTGGGGACGGTGCCAGCCGTGCTGGTCCACGCTCCTGGTTTAGAGCCAGTCATGGACGTCCGTGCTGTTGTTGAGGCTGGAGTGGATGGTTGCAAGGAGCTCCCTGTGGTCTTGAACGTTGAAAGGATGGACGTGGTCTCTCCTGGTTGGGTGGTTCCCGTGGGGCCCAGAGGGGTCTTAGGGCTTCTTGTGGTGGATGTAATGGGAGTCTCTGTGAGTCTGGCGGATGTTGGTCCTTCCGAGATGCTGGTAGATGCTGTGGTACTAGGTCTCGTCTGCAGGGTGGTCTCTTTGGTTGTTGTGATCTGGGTGTGGCTGGTCAGGGATGTAGGGGGTGTCGTCCTGGTGGTGAGGGTGGACAGGGTTGGCTCTGTGGTGGACCCAGAGTGGGAGGGTCCTGTGTGGGACTCCTGGGAGACAGAGACTGTACTTGGGAGGTGGCTCTGGTGGTCAGCACTGGAGTGGTGTAGGAACTCTCAGGCTTGGAGGAAGAGCGTATAGTGGATCCAGTGATCACAGGTGAGGTGGCCCTGGTGCTCAGCACTGATGTGGTGTGGACAGAGAAGGGAAGCGTGGTAGAGCCAGTAGCCTTGGTCAAGGTGATCAGTGTTTTGGGAGCATGTGTAGTCACTGGGATCGAAGAGGGTGTTGTGATGGAGCTGGTGGCCATGGTTGAGATGGTCCTGCTGGTCAGTCCTGGAGGTGTGTGAGTGGATCCCAGAGTAGAGGAGGAAGCCATAGTGGAGCCCGTGGGTGTCTGGGTGGTGGAGATGGACACGATCCCCCTGCTGGTCCCTGTGGAGGCGGTGCTGGTCTGGGGCAGGCCTGGAGATGTGGACCTTGACACCATCGACGACCACAAGCTTGTGGTGGGGACGTGTTGGAGGTGGTGCTGGACAATGCAGGCACCGTGGTGCTGGGGCAGTGACTGTAGTCACAGCAGAGCACACGCACGTTGTAATTGAAACACATGCTGAAGTCATCTATCTGGTCCTCGTTCCTGCACACCAGCCCCGTCTCCAGGCTACAGGTGACAACCTGCCCGATCTGGTCGATACTAACCTCCGGGTAGTTCTCTGCCCGGCACTCTATCTTCTCTGGTGCCTGGCACAGCTTGCCCCCTGCAGCCCTGATGTTTTCGTAAGTCTCCATGTCACCATCTGCCACATCTGTGGTTGGGAAGTCCACATCAAACCATTCAGTCCACTTGCACTTGGGTTGACAAAGGGTTGTGCTCTGGCTGGTGCTGGCCTCAGTCGTGGTGCCTGGTGTCACCCGTGTCCTTGGTGTGCTGATCTCGGTCTGTAAGGTGGGCTGCTGGCTTATGCGTGTTGTCAGTGCCGGGCTTGTGGTCAGAGTCTCTGTGGGGACGGTGCCAGCCGTGCTGGTCCACGCTCCTGGTTTAGAGCCAGTCATGGACGTCCGTGCTGTTGTTGAGGCTGGAGTGGATGGTTGCAAGGAGCTCCCTGTGGTCTTGAACGTTGAAAGGATGGACGTGGTCTCTCCTGGTTGGGTGGTTCCCGTGGGGCCCAGAGGGGTCTTAGGGCTTCTTGTGGTGGATGTAATGGGAGTCTCTGTGAGTCTGGCGGATGTTGGTCTTTCCGAGATGCTGGTAGATGCTGTGGTACTAGGTCTCGTCTGCAGGGTGGTCTCTTTGGTTGATGTGGTGTGGGTGTGGCTGGTCAGGGATGCAGGGGTGTCGTCCTGGTGGTGAGCGTGGACATGGGGGACTCTGTGGTGGACCCAGAGTGGGAGGGTCCTGTGTGGGGACTGCTGGGGGACCGAAAGGGCCCTTGGGAGGTGACTCTTGTGGTCAGCACGGGTGGGGTGAGGGATGTCTCAGGGTTGGTGGAAGGGGGTATAGCGGAGCCAGTGGTCACAGGCGAGGTAGCCCTAGTGGTCAGCACTAGGGTGCTGTGGGCAGAGGAAGAGGGTATGTTGGAGCCCGTGGTCATAGGCAAGGTGCCAGAGGAGAGGCTGGTCTGAAAGGAGGCCCTGGTGCTAGAAGACCCAGGGGTGGTACTGACAGTCCTCACATGAGCAGTGGGAGGAGGGCTTTGCAAGGTTGTCCTGGAGGTTAAGTTTGGGGTCTCAGTGATCGTCTGCCCTGTGGTGTAGAGAAGGCTGGAGGTGGAGGCTGGGAGGGCAGAGGGGCTAGGGACAGACGACCACTCAGTGATCCTGTGGGAAGTGAGGGGTGTCTGGGTGGTAGAGATGGACACGATCCCCCTGCTGGTCCCTGTGGAGGAGGTGCTGGTCTGGGACAGGCCTGGAGATGTGGACCTTGACACCATCGACGACCACAAGCTTGTGGTGGGGGACGTGTTGGAGGTGGTGCTGGACAATGCAGGCACCGTGGTGCTGGGGCAGTGACTGTAGTCACAGCAGAGCACACGCACGTTGTAATTGAAACACATGCTGAAGTCATCTATCTGGTCCTCGTTCCTGCACACCAGCCCCGTCTCCAGGCTACAGGTGACAACCTGCCCGATCTGGTCGATACTAACCTCCGGGTAGTTCTCTGCCCGGCACTCTATCTTCTCTGGTGCCTGGCACAGCTTGCCCCCTGCAGCCCTGATGTTTTCGTAAGTCTCCATGTCACCGTCTGCCACCCCCGAGGTCGGAAGGTCCACATCAAACCATTCAGTCCACTTGCACTTGGGTTGACAAAGGGTTGTGCTCTGGCTGGTGCTGGCCTCAGTCGTGGTGCCTGGTGTCACCCGTGTCCTTGGTGTGCTGATCTCGGTCTGTAAGGTGGGCTGCTGGCTTATGCGTGTTGTCAGTGCCGGGCTTGTGGTCAGAGTCTCTGTGGGGACGGTGCCAGCCGTGCTGGTCCACGCTCCTGGTTTAGAGCCAGTCATGGACGTTCGTGCTGTTGTTGAGGCTGGAGTGGATGGTTGCAAGGAGCTCCCTGTGGTCTTGAACGTTGAAAGGATGGACGTGGTCTCTCCTGGTTGGGTGGTTCCCGTGGGGCCCAGAGGGGTCTTAGGGCTTCTTGTGGTGGATGTAATGGGAGTCTCTGTGAGTCTGGCAGATGTTGGTCCTTCCGAGATGCTCGTAGATGCTGTGGTACTGCCTGTGGGCGTGTGGGTCATCACTGGGCTACTTTTGAGCTGTGGCTTTGAAGACAGGGTCTGGGAGATTGTGGTGGCTGTCCCCCGTGTTGTAGTCAAGGGCACAGTGGTGGCAGTTCCCTGGCATTGGCTTACATTGCAGCACAGAACACGGATCATGTAGTTGAAACACATTGAGAATAAGTCATTCTGGTCCTGGTTACGGCACACCAGGCCAAACCGGACATCGCATTGCACTTTCTGACCCAGCCTGTCCGGGGTCAAGCCAGGGTAGTTCTGGGCCTGGCACTCTATTTTCTGTGGCCGATCGCAGAGGTCTTCCCCTGCCGCCCGGATCCTGTCATATGTCTCAGTGTCCCCCCCTGCGATTTCAGTTTTGGGGTAATCCGTGTCAAACCACTTTGTCCACTGACATTGTGGCTGGCAGGTGGTGGTGGCTGAGGTCAGGGTGCTGCTGACCAAGCGGGTGACAGTCTTAGCTGGGGTGGGCGACACAGTCTGTGAGGTGAAGGCTGTTGCAGGCCCAGAACTTATCCTTGTCTGCAGGGTGGTCTCTTTGGTTGCTGTGGTTTGGGTGGAGCTTGTCAGGGATCCATGGTGTGTTGTCCTTGTGGGGAGTGTCAACAGGGAGGACTCTGTTGTGGGTGTAGACGGGGAGTGGAGAAGACTGCTTGTTGTGGCTCGGGACGAGCCACAGGGCATCTTCTCACAGCACAGAACGCGCAGCTGGTAATTGTGGCAGAGAGGGGGGCTCTGGTTTCCATTGAGGCATGTCAACCCCTGGGCTGGGTCACAGTCCACGTTCTGACCCAACTCTTGCAGAGGTGTGTTGGGGAACTGTTCTGCCCGGCACTCAATAGCAGTGGGGGCCTGGCACACCTGGTACCCCAGTTGCCTCAGGTTCACGAATGTTTCGAACTCCCCACTTCCCATGCCTGCCTCTGGACTGCTTCCGTCATACCAGTCGGACCAGTGGCAGACCTCGCGAACACACACAGTGGATAGAGTAGTAGCTGAACCTGCATGGAAGGTTTGACAGGGCCCCAGTCAGCCTCCTCTGGCTCTTGCTACAGCCTAGGAGGAGGGGATGACAATGGATTCTCACCTCAGGCCATTCTAACTATGGGGCTGGCCTGAGTGCCAGGCTCAAGGGAGCTGGCCAGCTGGGGTGAGCTGCACCAAGGACAAGACAGAGTCTCTGGAAGGTCTGTGGTTGTCGGGAGCAGCCCTACCTGTCACTGTGCTTAGGCTTCCTAAGAAGCCCTGAGGAAGGAGGGGTGGGGAGCACAGATCCCAGGCAAAGCCTGGGCAAGTGTCTAGTAGGTCCTAGATGTGATCAAATCTTACTCTGGTTCACATGATGGCCCAGGGCCAGGGGCTTCCGGAGAGCCTGGCAGGCTTACTTGTAGAGAGAGGGGCTGTGGTGGTGGTGAAGGTGAAAGGTGTTGTGGTCAGGATTCCAGGACACTCCTCAGTCCTCCTGATTATTGTCCCGTTGTCTCCACAGGTGGCTGTCAGGCAGGCGCCAAGGCCATCGGTGGTGTTGTAGATGGTATCCTCGTAGGCGTAGGTTCGGTTTTCATAGGTGCACACGCAGGCTGGGGGCGGTGACAGGCACCCAGTCATTCAGAGCCTCCAGCTTAGCCCTCATCCTCAAACCCATGGACCCCTTCTTACCTGAGGGGCTGTGAGTGCACTGGAGGCCGCCAGGGGTGCAGTGGCTGTGGGGAGGGGAAGAGAGGTGCTGAGGGCCTGTAGGTGGTCCCTGCCTGCCCCTGACCCCCTACTCCTTCCTCCCTCCTCCTCCTCCCCACCCCCAGTCCCCTTCTTGCCTGCCCACCCTCTCACCAGCTCTGGCAGTTCTCTGCCGTGGGAACCTGCTTGCCGATGTCATAGTAGTTTCCGTCCTGGTCATAGCAGCCACACTGGGCCACACACTTCATCTGATCCTCGTTGAAGAAGGGTTGGCTGGATGGGCAATTTGGGTAGCATCCTGGGGTGGACAAGGGGCCCAATGGCCTTCTAACCTCTCAGGTAGGTAGCAGGCTGCCCAGCTCCCCACCACCACCACAGTAGCAGAGCCACCCTGAGAGTCCCAGGCCTGCCCAAAGGCCTCCTCACCCGGCACATTTCTCCCTCACCTTCTAGGCCAGGCAGGTCAACCAGGCAGTGGCCACTGGGGTTCCGGCAGGTCTTCAGGCAGGGTGCCCCACAGGGCTGGTAGTGCCACTCACACTCCCCATGTGGGTTGTAGTAGTCACAGAACAGGGCTGGGTGCAGAGAGCAAAGGCTAAGTGTGTGACTGCCAGGCTTCTTCCTGCCATGTGTCCCAGGCCAGCCCCACACTGGGCCCGGACTAACAGACCTCAGGCCAGGCTGGCACTTGGCCTCAGGTTCCCTCCCCAGCCTCACCCCTGGAACGCCAGTTCCTGAGAGCCGCTTGTACTGGGACTGCCTGTACAGATGTACACATAGATTTGCACACACGTATCAAGAATGTGTGTGCCCGTGTGCCAGTTAGCAGCCCTAGGGCCAGGAGGAAGGCTGCTGCCCACTTCCTCCCCAGCCCTATCTTTCAGCACCACGGACAGAGCTCCACTCACGGCAGATGTCAGGCGTCCTCCAGGACACGCACACGCCCACATCGTGGCAGGCCTGTGCATAGGCGGCCACAGCAGTGCAGAAACACTCGCAGTCACCTCCTGAGTCACAGGCACAGGCATCACTCACACAAGCCTCGTAGTACTTAGTAGAGTCAACCTGGAACAGAGGGACCAAGGCGACACTTAGGGAGAACAAAACATCTTTCCAGGTCGAGGACAGCCAGTCCTGGGTGAGTCCCTGGAACCAGTTGTAGGCCAACCACCAACACCAGCGGTCTGAGATTCCTGATCCTAGGGCCATGAGTCATTGTCAGAGGATCCCAAATGAGAGCTGCCCCCAGTACCACCTCTCTAGCTCATTGGGCACCTGCCTACCTATATACCTGCCCGCCTGAGCACCTGCCCACCTGTGCACCTGCAATCATGCTCCTTGGATCCTTTTATCATGAGAATCTAGTCACATGACCTACATGTTCCAAATTCACCCAGGGCATTGAATCCTGGTCCCCCTACCCGCCCTCTCCCTCTACCCTTGTGCCCTGGCTTGCTTTGCTCAGTGTGCTGAACTCTGTTGCACTTCTGCCTCCCCACATCTGACTCCTCACCTGGACTGCTGCCCCTGTGGCCGCTGGTGGCCCCTGCTTGAGCTCCTCTGCACAGAGCCCATCCCCGACCTCTCTGTTGCCTTACCCCTGACAATTGCAGGTCTCGTACCTATTCCTCCAGGTGACCTGGCACCCTAGACCTGCCCCCAATCTCTGAGGCCCTGGAGAACATGCCCCAAGGAAGCAGCAGGTGATGGCTGCTGCCAGAAGTTTGCCCAGCATCACTTCACTTCCAGACTGGCATTCCCCTGTGCCACTCCAACACAGGAGCTGACTGGATCCCTTAACTATAGATGAGTGAGCCCCCAACCCACACTGATCCCAGGCAGCAAACCCCAGAGTAGACAAGTTCTTGCTTTTGCCACTACCACCAGCATCTAAAGCTGAGGTCAGCCTCATCAGGCCACAAAGGACCTTCTGAGCCAAGGAGCAGGACAGCAAGGGGACACACTGGCCACCTGCTCTTGAGAGCAAGCTGTGGAGTGACCAAGGTGCTCACTCAGTGAGGAGTGTTGGCTGGCACAACTTTGTGTGAGTCCCCCACCTCTTGCCACCTTGTTCAGTCCTGTGTCCCTAAGTGGGAACACTCCAGTCTTGGTTGAAGGCATAGGGGAGGGTTTTTGGAAGTCTCTACTACACCTTCTAGGGGAGCCCCAGGTGGCCTTGTTTGTGCTGTAGTCTGGGCAGGTCTGGGGACCATCAGGAAAGATGGTGGGGTCCCTTCAGTGAGCGTCATTAATGGAGGCTGTGGCCAAGGACTGGCCCTGAAACAGTGGAGATGACTCCATGCCGGGGATAAGGATCACGGGTAACCACTTCATGGGACATCAGACCCAGGACCTGAAAACCCCAGGACTGTGTGCCATGTGCTGTGGTAGGGTCAAGACTGTCCTCAGAGGCCTATGTGCCCAACCCAGTCACACTCAGTTCCCACCCAGAAAAAAGGAGGTAGCCATAAATCCCTCTGGCCCCTGCCCACCACGCCCAAGCCCTGGGCCTCTCTGGGCCCCACCTGAGAGCGGCAGTTGGCAAAGGTTGCACTGTTGATGATGCTGCACTGTTTCTGGGCCCAGGACTTGCGGTAAGGGTTGGTGGTGCAGGGGTCCTTGGGCACCAGGGCATCCGGGCAGGACGGGGAGAACTTCCAGCTGTTTCCAAATTCCAGTGCGTTGCCCACCACAGACTGGCTCCGCGTGGTGAAGTCATTGATGGCGATGTCATCAAAGTTCCCACACAGGCCGCAGACCCTGCCCTGCAGAGCACAAAGAAAGATGCAGCTGGGTAGCAAGGCAACTGGGCAAGACAGTACAGAAGCTGGCCCAGGAGCAAGACCACAGGGAGGGCACCAGGTTCCTCTGGGCAGTACCCAGTGAACTTGCAAGGGGAGAAGGTGTGAAGCAAGTCCTGGGGTGGGCAGGCAGGTGGACAGCACCTGCTCCCTTAGAGCCCTCTGCAGCCTCAAGGACCAGTGGACAGAGCCAGCTGGCCCTCCAGGGCTCTGCTATACCTATTGATCAGGGTACAACCTGGTGTTGTGTGTGGCCTCACCTGGCTGGGGCTTTTCCACGTGAGGACCAGCCCTCAACCTCAGCAGCCTTGTCAGCTGCCAGACTCAGTCCTGGCAGGACCAGGCCTAAGAGAAGAGTCCCCCAGGCTGGCTATGCTCACCTTGTAATGCTGCTTCAGCCGGATGACCACGCTGGTCTTCCTGTCCCAGGAGACAGCCATCCCTCTGCGAGTCTCGATGACCAGGAAGATGCCCATATATCGAATCTTGTAGGGCAGGATGCCACCTGACCCCCTCCCAACCACCTTGAAGCTCCCCTCATGGAGGATCAGCTCATAGCTCTGCAGAAGGAGGCACACAGGGCAACAGCTTCAGGGAACTGAGGTGCCAGGGGCCCACCAGCCACTACTTCACCAGGATGGGGCTCCATGGTGCCCAGTAGCTTGTGGTGTGAGGAGCTGCAGTTAGGGATAAGTGAGTGTGGCCAGAGGCTGGAAAGGAAGTACCGGCAGAGCGAGGAGACCACAGGAACCATCAGGCCACTGCCAGAAGGAGAGCCCCTGAAGGCTCGCTCTGCCCACCCACACTCAGCTCCTCTAACCTGCTGTGGTCTTCTTTGGCTTCTCCTCACCCTCAGTCAGCAGCTCTGGATTCTGTCCTGTGAACTCTAACCTTCTTTTACTGGTAGTGGGGCCCCAGGTGTGGTGGGGTGAATTATAGTCCCCCAAAAGATCTGTCCACAGTCTACAAGGACCCGTGAGTGTCCCCCAAAAGATCTGTCCACAGTCTAACCCCCAGGACCCGTGAGTGTCCCCTTATTAGAAAACAAGTCTTTGAAGGGCTGGGATGTACTCAGGGGTAGAGCATTTTCCCAGCATGTCTAAGGTCTTAGGTTTCATCCCCAGCACCATAGCAGGAACAACAAACTTCTTTCCTTAAAAAAAAAGTCTTTGCAGACGATTAAGTCTGCAAATGGAAATGGAATCTTCCTGAATTATCTCGGTAGGCCCTAAATCCAAGGACAGTGTTCTTATAAGTGACAAAGGAGAGGACACAGAGACAGAGCAAGTGACCATGGGAAGACAGGCAGAGATCGGCACAATGAAGCCACAGCTAAGGAACACCTGGAACCCCCAAACTGGGAAAGGAAGGAGGGACCCTCCCCAGACCTCTCAGACCTCTGCAGAAAACATTGCCCACCAGCCTGGATCTTGGACTTCCAGCCTCTGAAGTGAGACATTAAGTGTCTGCTGTTCCAAGTCCTGGTTTGGGGTCATTGGACAAAAATATGGCTGGAGAGCCAGGTGGGAAGTGGAGGTCCCCGGCCACAGGTGCACCTTTACCTCCACAAAGACCTTGATGGCCTTGGAGCAAGTGGTCCCTGTGGTCCCACAGGGGACATTCTGCGTGATGACACGGAAGGTCCCATTAGTGCTGGTATTGCCCCCACAGTAGTCCTGGGACAAAAAGAGACAAAGCACTGGTCACAGGCAGGAGCCAGGCTCGAGCCAACCAGCCTATGAGCGGGGCTGAGGGGTCATGAAATTGTGGGTGGAGTTGAGGGCCTACACACCTGGGCCAGGACATACTCGCAGGTGCCTTCAAAGCTGTAGCGATCGCCATCGAAGGTGATGAAGTGGCCGTCCCCATAGGCTACGCAGGTGCCCAGGCAGGGCTGGTCAGTGCACTCCCACCGGTGGTTCCTGCAGGTGCTATGGGGCCGGAGGGGAGGGGGATGATTGCTCACAGAGTCCTGCCCTCCAAGTCCTGCCCAGCCATTTTAGCCCTGTGCCAGCGTGCCACCTTGCCCCAGGCCTAGGTGCACATGTGGCAAGGGTGGGCCTTGTGTGGGCATGCAACCGGTCACCTCAGGCCTGAGACCCTGCCCCTCCTCCACAGAAAGGGATCCTGTGAGCACCTTTAGCACCCTGCTGAGGTCTTGCCACGCCAAGGCCAGCTCAGGCCAGTGTCTCTCTGGACAATCCCTCTCCCATACTGCCTCTGAAGGGCCCAAGACCCACCAAGTGTTGCAGCCCACCCGGACAGTCTCTCCAGGTTTGTAGGTGGCCTCGTTGTGTACACAGGGACAGTCCTCCTCAGCAACACAGCCTCCTTTCCCATCTGCCACCAGTCCAGGAGGGCACACGCAGCCCGAGACACAATGCGTGCTAAACTGTGGGAACAGGTAGCCCAGTCAGGATCAGGAGAGTGACCTGCTCGCCGAACCCCATTCCAGGTCCCAGGATGCCAAGCAAGTAGACACTACCCATCCTGGGGGTGCCCAGGAGAGGGCCACGTGGTGGGGTGGAGGATCTGGGGGCAGTGAGGCCCACAGCCACAGACCCCCCCAGTGACACCAGCACCCCTGGGCACTGAGCAGCCAAGGCTGCATCCCCACACCTTCCCCTCTGGGCAGCTCAGGACAGTGGGCTATGCCTGGGATGACTCACACAGTCCACGTCTAGCGTGTGGCAGCTCCTGAGGCACTCAGCTCCAGGGGCACCCGCCGAGGCATTGCCGCAGTCCAGGTACACCATGGCGCCACACACCCTGGGGAGGCCAGGCATGTGGGAGGAGCTCAGGGAAGGGCAGTCCCAGCTCCCCGTCCTGAAGTCTACTGATACCACTTGCTGATGGAGGCTCTGACCTGAGCACCCAGGCTGCTACAAACCTGCCCCGAGTGGTGCAGCCCAGGACCCACAACCCAAGGCACTGTGGCCACACTGCTAGACAGAGACTTGAGGCCATTCTTCCTGGAGTATCTTGGCATGGTGCCTGTGGCAGGGTCCAGGAGAGACTGACTGGCCCAGGCTGGGACAGGGTAGGAGCAGGGCAAAGATCAGGTAGGGACAGGGAGGGGGCATGGCAGGGTGTTACCTGTGCTCTTTTCCATCATGGCTCCCAGGCAGTTCAGCTTCCCACTCGCACAGGAGCTACAAGAGACCACCCTGTTCTGGACTCTCTGTCTCCCACAGCCCACCCATGTGCTTCCTGTCCCTACCCTGGACAGGTGCTAGACCTCCCCAGGTCTCACTGCCACCTCCAGAGACCAGGACAGAGACTGCTGCTGGCGTGTCTGCAAAGGTCCCGAATCCCATAAAGGCCGTAGGGTGGGCAAGAAGGTAGCTGGACGTTGGGAGTGGGGCATGGCCCTCAGCTTGTACTGTAGTCTGCATCCCAAATGTCTCCCAAGTTCCCCAGGTGCTGAAGGCTTGGTCGCCAGCCCGTGGCCATATTGGGAGGAGAAACTTTAGGAACAGGGCCTAATGAGAAGGCGTTAGATCACTGGGGTCATGACTTAATGAGGACATTGGGACCCTGGCCCTGTCCTCCCTCTCTCTTCCCCACCATGAGAAAGCGATTTTGCAATGATGTGATGCACGCCACAGCCCCAAATCAAGTGACCAATTGACCACGGACTTGAATCTCCAAAACTGAGCCTAGGTAAACCTTTTATCTTTATAACTTGACTGTCTCAGGCTTTTCATTATAGAAATGGAAAGCTGGCTAACACAGCTTATAAAGGAGTCACCTTCAAGGCCAGGGAGATGGCAGCAGATGAGAAATCCTGGCCCCACATAAGAACTGTCTAGCAAGACCCCATTCCCCAAGTATCATACCCATCTTTCCCTTTCTGTGGACCCAGGACCCTTGAACAAACTCTAGGCTTCTTTGCAGAGGGTCTGGCAGGTGTCCCCTTTCCCCAAGCATGGCCCCTGTATGCACGTGAGTCTTGAAACCTCTGGAGGTGGACTGAGCAGCAGAGAAAGATCCTGCCTGCCAGGGGTGTGGTGTGGGAGAGGGGTGAGGGACAGCCCTGCCCAGCTGTGGGCATCCTTACCACACTACGCCATTGTCCTGAACAATCTCCCCAGGAGCCACCATGGTGCCATGGAAGTAGCAAGGGCACTCCTGGGCAGGCACGCACACACTCGCGTCATTCAAGAAGGTGCCCGCAGGACAGGTGCAGCCATCCACAGGCACGAAGGAGACGCTACAGGTGACATCAGCCTCACTCAGGGCACGGCACGTGGGCTGGCAGGAATCCACCACATAGGCGTAGCTTTGGGACTTGGGGCAACCGTTCATGTACTTCGCTGCAGGAGGCAGAGGTGGGGGACAGAGAGGTCTGTAGCCAGCAGACTGGCCCAGCTCTTGCTCTGCTCCATCCCAGACTCAGTGTCCCCATCAGTGACATAACCAAGGATGTAAGGTTCTTATGAAGTCAAGAAGACAATATGCAAAGTCCTGGCCTGAGAAGATGTGAGCTATAGCCACTGCCCACTCAGGCACCCCCCCCACACCAGCGTCCCTCACCCCTGCTTCACGAGGCCAGGACATCAGTGGTGGGGATGTGTACCCTGTGGGAGGTGCCCAGCTCGCCCATAGCACACTCACTGCAGACACCGTCTCTCCAGCCTCGGAGCAGCACACCCTTGGCGGCACAGGCTCGCACATAGGAGGACAGGGCCGCACACATGCAGTCCTCACTCTTCTCACAGTTGCATGTGTCAAACACGCAGTTCTGGGGGCAGAGTGTCAGGGTGTCAGGGACCCCTGTCCCTCAGAGTCCCTCATTACCCATTCATCCCTCCCACCAGCATCTGCTGAGTCCAGTCCAAGCCAGGAGCTCTGCTGTGAAGGATGCCACTCAAACACCCCGGTGGGGGACTTGCAGGGGTGACCTGAGCTTCCTGATAAGGATGGAGTACCAGAGAGGTGGCACCAGCCAGAGTAGAGTTCAGGCCTTGGTGCTGGGGCAGAGGCAGCTGGAAGGTGTGAAGCTGAGTAAGGTCAGAGGAGTCTTCTCAGAACAAGGATGGACCCACCTCAGAAACGTCGCTGTCTGGGCTCGTAGGAGACGTGGATTGAGTACAGAGTGGAGACAGAGGCAGGAGCTGACTTGGTGGGAGGTGCCCAATAGGGTGGGCATGGAGGAGGTCCGGGGTCTACCCCCTGCAAACCCATCCCTGGGTCTAGAGTCATGTGCATTTGAGGGTTTGGGTCCTGCTGTTGGGTTGAGCTGTGTTCCCAAAAAGAGGTGCTGGAGTTATCTCAGGTGCCTGTGGCTAGGGACTTGTGAGGGGAGAGGCCTTTGCCGGTAGAACTGGCTGTGAGGGTGAGCTTGCTCCAGTGACTGGTGTCCTCACACGAGAGGAAGGTGGACACGGATGAGGACAGCCATGCGAAGACCAAAGCCAGACCCCAGGGACTCTAGGATTTGTTTTTAGCCACCCAATCTGTGGTCTCCTTTAGCCACCCTGAGAAAACAAACACTCCCCACCCCAGCAGGACATAGCTTCTCACCGAGTGGAAGGGCGCAGGGCTGATGGTGGAGTGGCAGGCAGAGAACACACCAGTGGGGTCAGTCAGCAGTGAGCACCAGTGCTGGGCGTAGTTTTCTGGGGGAGGGAAGGGATATGTGGTACCACGCGTCACTGCCTCTCAGAGTGACCTTGATCCCCCGATGCGTTTCTGCCTACATGGGGTGGCCCAGACCCTACCCCAGAGATCCCTGTCACCCCGTGCTGCTGAGGGCTGTGGACAGAGGTACCATTTTCCACGCTGAGAGAGCAGGGGTCCTCGAAGCTGTTCTTGGCATTGGGGCAGGTGGCCTGAGTCTTCCAGGTATTGGCAAAGGCAGCACCCGTGCCCTCCACCAACCCACTGAGGGCCGTGAAGTCATCAGCCTGGTTTTGATTGAAGTTCCCACACAGGCCTGGGGGTTGGGTGCAGGAGCTTAGCGGGGCTGTCCAGCAGGTTTTCCCTGGGCCCCTGCTGGCCTGATAGGCACTGTCACAAAGTGGATAGGGTAGAGCCCCTTCCCGGGGATTGTCTCCATAAACCTGCAGACAGGCCCGTTGGGGACGAATTCTGTGCGAGACTGGCCTGAGTGAGGGCAGCCCAAATTGCTCTCCAGCCTCCTCCACAGATGGCAGGTGTCCTGGAAGATCCTGGAGTCTCCATCAAGGGCTGGGAGTGGCTGTGACCCCAGCCCCTTCTGCGGCCAGCTTCTACCTGCCCTGCCTGACAGCCTGGAGCTGGGTCAGGCCTCACCCCCCACCTCGGCTCTACCCACCCCAAAGCCCACCAGAGCTCCTCACCGCACATCTGGCCACGGTGGGAGGGGTCCAGCCTGACAAACACCTGCATGAGAGGTACAAGCTGCACCTGCAGCTGCAGGCCGAGGTGCGTCTGCACCAGGATGAAGAATGTCGAGGGACTGAAGATGGTGATGTTAGCTGTGGAGGGAGAGGTATTAGGCATGCAGGGAGCCGGCCTGGCTACACAGGGTTAGTGCTGGCTGGTACAGGTGGTGTGAGGGCCTGGCCATCCCAGTAGATCTGGGAGCATGGGCAGGAGCTCCCATGCCCACTGTCCCCAAGTAGGACAAGGTTGTTGAGTGACTGCTAACTGTTCCCAAGAAGCAGACAAGGTTCTCATAGCAACCAGTGGTGGGATTCTTCTCACCTCCATTTTGGAGATAAGGAACAAGCCCAGGGGATATGCTCTGGAACTGCCAGAGGCCACAAAAAACTCTCCAGGGACTGATCTGGGTCCCACCCAGCTCTGGGAGCTGATCACCTACTTTGGAGGCACCAACACTGGCCTAGCGTCATGGGGAACCACGTACCTGCAGATAGGGGCAGCTGAGTATAGATGGAGTTTATAAACACAGCGCCATTGGCCTGGATTTGGATGGCCTGGTGGGAGGGGCGGGGCTTCAGTCAGTGCTCACTGGGTCCACCCGTCCACTCACAGAGGAGGAAACTGGCCTGGGATCGCCCCACAGGGACAGAGATGGGAGGGGAGCACAGGCCTGAAGATGTCCACCCGGGACGTAGCTGCCCTGGGCACCACGGACTTGAGGGAGCTGAGACCTCTCTTTTCTGATCCATCTCCCCTCTGCAGGCCTCTCCACCTCTGCCTCCCCCAGCCCAGAGGGCTCTGGTGACCCAGGGTCAATCCTCACCGTGTCCCCACCATTGAGGCTGAGTGTCACTGTCTTGAGGCAGTTCTCAGTGTCTGTCAGGCCACATTTCCGCAGCTCGGCCAGCACAGTGAAGGCACTGTCAGCACATTTCTATTGGAAAACCCACAGTGTGTGGGACTGAGTGTGGCACTGAGTGTGGGGTGTGGGGTGCCCTGTGTACAATAACCATGACAGACAAATGCAGCTCCAGGAAGGTGGCCTTGGGCACCCTGTCACCTCAGTGCAGTCTATCTTGGGGCCTGGGGTTCTCTGCCACCTGCGGGTTCACCCGCGATGATGGCCTTCATGGGACTCTTCCTGGGCTGGAAGGGACTGAGGGTCCCCGGGAGGGGCTGACACCACATGGCCGCACCTTGGACAGGATGTAGTTGCAGTCCCCATGCACATCGTACAGCTTCTCATCATAGGTGGAGATGTGGGACCCGCCTTGCACAGAGCAGGTGCCAGGGCACGGCAAGTCCTGGCACTCCCATAGGCCCCCAGTGCAGGTGCTGTTGGAGGTAACCATGAGCAATGGTCACTGTAGGAAAAGGCAGGGAGCCTCTTCCCCACACCCCAGGGAGGGCGGCCAGCCTACCAGGAGCTGCAGCTGGTGGAGAAGGAGTCCCCAGGTGCATAGGTGTGGCCACCATGGGTGCAGGGGCACTGTGCCAGAGGCAGGCAGCCTGAGTGTGTGACATCATCCAGCATTGTGCCTGTGGGGAGAGACAGTGAGCACAGGCTGGATCCACACACTGGTGGGGACACTGAGGCACCAAACATGGGGGGCAGCTTGTCTCTAAGGAGACTGTAGCCATGGGGCAGGGGAGTGGGCCCCTGGACTAGGAAGCTGCCCCAGCCTAAGCCCAAACTGCTTGGAATGAGCACTGTATTCCTCTAGGCCTCAGTTTACCCACCTGATCCCCAGAACCCATGGCACCTGTCTGCTTCTCTCCACAGACTAGCAGATCTCTGGCTTGTTAACAGTCCATTCCCCTCCCTCCACCCTTGACCCTTGGGTGGGACTCCTGAGTGAGAAGGATCTGCCCGGGGTGGGGGTCAGGTGTTGAAGCCAGTGACCCAAAGGCATCCAGGGAGGTGGGGCACAGGGCACGAGGCCTGCCTGGGGGACAGAAGCAGCCATCCATGCAGTGGTCCTCGCAGAGCTCAGAGCGCTGGGGGTTGGAGCAGGTGTCTGTGCAGGGCGAGCCACACTCCCGGTGCTGCATGTTGAAAGGGCAGGTCTGGGCTGCAACAAAGGAGACAGTGCTTGACCAGGGAAGATGGGTCCCCTCCTAATCACAGTGCTCAGAGGAGCTGCACAAACTCTCTGCCTCCACGTCCGCCAAGGTCATCTTCTGGGTGAAGCAGGAAGTGGGGAAGCAGACACTCAGCACCTCTAACCATGCCCACCTGAGGTTGTCTGGGGTCACAACTTCTCACCGTGTCCAGGGGGCCAGGTCCTTCCTCTAGGCCCAACAGGTCCCCCAGGACCCTCTGGTGCTGTATTCTCTCTCTCTCTCTCTCTCTCTCTCTCTCTCTCTCTCTCTCTCTGCTGTCCATTGTCTCCAGGTGGCCCTTGAGTGGCTTTCTCGTCCCCAACTCCCTACCCAGATTCTAAGTACAAGTCTGCCCCAGGTGCAACCCTGGTGAGGACACTCACGGCAGAGGTCGGGACTCCTCCAGTTCTGTGGCTGACCCCCTGCATGGGCACACTGGCGGGAGTACTCAGCAAAGGTGGCACATGGACACGTGGGGCAGCGACAAAGGTCCTGAACACATGCGGCTATGTACACGTTGGCATCCACCAGGACATTGCACTCAGCAAAGGCGGAGCCAAGCAGGATGCGGTAGCAGATGTTCTCCTGGGGAGCACAGAGAAGCTGGGCACCCCTGGCCACCAAGCAGGCTTGTCACAGTGCTTGTGTGGAGACTCTGTGCCTTGCAGACCAGGCCAGGGAGCTCCTCCTCTCAGAAATTCCTTCCATCCACCTGCCAATCCACCTGTTTATGCATCCATCTACCCAGGCATCCACCCATCCGTCCATCCTCCAATCTGTCCACCCACCCATCCATCTGCCTACTTACCCACCCACCCATTTATCTATCTAGCCACCCACCCACCCATCCATTTGTTCATTCATCCATTCGTCCATCCACCCACCTGTCCATGCATCCATCCATCCATACACCCACTTATCCATCACCCACTCATCCATCCATCTTTTCATCCACCCATCTCTCCCTCCATCCATCCATCTACCCACCCCCCCCGTCCATCTGTCCATCCATCTGTCCATACTTCTGTACACCCACTCTCTCATCTACACATCATTCTGCCTGACTGCTGTGAACCTGCTGCTCCTGAGTGAAGAGCTCTGCTTAGTTCTGGGAGAGTGACTCAGGACTCCGGACACCAGCCTCGGGCCTCTAGGCCTCCAGGACATGCTGCCTGCGATATGAGCACCCGGGAGAGTGCAGACCCTCTCCCCCACACCCTGGCTGGCAGCTCAGAAGAGGCAGAGGCAGAGGAGTGTTCCAGCAGGCTCAGTGCTGCCTGCTGATGAATGTCCTCTTGCCCCAGGACCTCAGGCCACTGTAAGGTCATGGCTCCCAGGATTAACCAGCATTTTTGTTCACTTCACAATTTGGGGCTCAAGGATTCTGCTAGTTTCAGGGATCCTAGACTTCTAGGCCATGTCCAAAGGAGGGTTCCTCTCTGCTCTGGGATTCCTGAGTGTCTGCCTTGGCCCAGCCTGTGGAGGTGTGGGTGCACACACAGTCAAGGCTCACACGGTGCACATGCATGGCGTCAGCACATTTAGCACAGGTGTGCCTGGTGTACAAGGTGGATCTGCACACAGAGTGTTTGCCTCACTCCCACACTTTCCCTGCCTGCTGAGGGAAGCTGGCCAGGCCCAGCCTCTCTCGGACCTAGACATACCCTCCCAGCTCCCAAATGCCCTTCCTCAACTGTGCAGGGTCCTCAACTGGGAGGTGCTCTCTCATCACTTGAGAACATACTTCAGCTCTCAGCCCAACTGTCCCTCCCGCTGTCCTGGGGACTCGGGCTGTGGTCAAGGTGCTCACCTCATCTGTGCAGTTACTGGCCAGTGAGGGCAGGGGATCCTGGCATTGCTCCGTGGGACCATCTAGTTTCTGCAGGTTTCCAAACTGGACAGGGGTCAGCCTGGTGTCTGCCAGAGGGAAAACACTCAGTGTGGGCAATGCTGAGGGCTCAGGATGGGGAGGGTGATGGGGGGAATTGGGTTCCCTGAGGTGGCCACCAGGACTCTCCTCTACCTAAGCCCAGGACCCCACATCCCTACAAAGGTGTCCCCCTCCCCTCTCACCTCCATCCATGCCCAGTGCCCCTGCCCACTCTGCCCTTCCTGGCCTCCCTGGGACTATCTGACCCTCTGGACAGGCTCACTCGGCCCCTGGCCCTGGACTTAGGACTGCACTCACTGTGGATGTAGAACTCGTTGACAGCTGGGAGCCCGTTGAAGTCTCCGCACAACCCACAGGTCTGGTTGCTGTACTTGGGGTCCAGTTCCAGCTAGGGGGGCAGGGCTCCAGCCTCAGGGCCTGCCTGGCAGGTCCCCCCCACCCGCCTTCCCCAGGCAGACCTATGTTATCCCCTCCACCCCCCACTAGCCCTATGTAAAGTCCCTATGACCCGATTGGAGGACTGGAGGGTGCTGTGGGAGATTGCAAGGATTGCAGGAGGCTATAGGGGATAGTGGGAGGCTGTGGGGGATTGTGGGGGATGGGGGAGCTGTAGGGGCAGGTGTCCTCACCAGGGCACTGTCTTCTCCATTCCACAGGAAGGTGAGGACCAACTGGACGCTGATCTTCACGTAACTGCTGCTCTGCTCCACCAGGAGGCCCGCACGGCTGTAGGGCAGCTTCTCCCTAGTCAGAAAGGTCTGGTCCTCTCTTGGCTGGGCGCTGGTCCTCCCAGTGCCCTCCCCTCTAGCTCTGATCCTGGCCCCACCCCAGAGTGCTGCAGTGGTTGAGGCCCAGAGGTTGGACTTTGGCCACGCCCCTCCCCAGGGCTCAGCTTACTGTTGCCCATCCACCAGGACGGAGCCATTCAACAGCTCCAGCACCAGCCCCTGGGTCTTGAGGACTACGTGGGTGACGGTGGGCCTGGAGCCAGTGAGGCCACGGCGCAGCTGGATGTTGAAGTCCTCGTAGGCGGCACCACAGTGTGCAGAGAACACATAGTTGCAGAGGCCCGGGAAGCGGAAGATGTCGCCATCGAAGGTCTTGTAGTGGAAGTCGCCCCAGGTACTGCACACCCGCCCATTGTGCACCGGATTCAGGGCTGCAGGGAGCCATGTGACGTGACCACCTCTGGATGTCACCACTCCAGGCCAGGTGCCCACCAGGCAAGCACCCATACTTGGGGCAGGAAAGTCAGCCGCCCACTGCTCTGTGAGCTGGCCATGCCCTCCCTTCGTCTCCTCATTTGCTCCGATTTGTCCCAAGACTCTGAACCTGTCTGACCCCTCCCACCCACTATGGGCAGCCAGCATCTAGGGTGGTCAGCAGCCTGTCCACAGGGAAGGCTCCAGGACCTTCCAGGGCTTCTTAGGGGCCCCACACCGTGCCAGCTTCACCCTGACCTTGACCTCAGCCTGGGCAGCAGTGGGTGCCTCCACTTACGGCTCATGGTGGGGAAGATGGTGATGGGTGGAATGAAGGTCACGTGCCCGATAGATGAAGATGTAGGCTGGGCTGTGGAGGGAGGGCTGGATCACACTGTGGTCAGCCTTCCTGGGCTCCCACCCTCTTTGCTGCCCACCCTGGGATCATCAGGAAGCCCAGAACTGATGGGCTGATAGGGCCATTCCTCCCTGGTCAACCTGGACCCTCTCATCTGCCCAGGAGTCACTCCTGTCCTGGTTATTTGGCCCGTGGGTATCACATATGTCTGTGAGCCGTTGGACCTCTCTGCTCTACACCTGTCTCTTCTATGGAACTCCCAACCCCTTAGTGTCCAGCACTGACGCCAAGCAGGAGGGATGTGGTGGGGGGGGGGAGGCCCACAGGACAGGCATCTGCTGGTCCAGCCCTTCTGCCTGGTCAGAAAACTTCCCACTTAGAGCCTGGGCCACACACCATCATCTACCCTCTGACTGTCCACGGTCTTTGTGGTACTTGACCTCGGCTCCATAGAGTCTTGGGTCTCTGCAGGAAAAAAGGGATGGAATCCAGCAAGAAGTCAGACACTTCAACCATCCTGGCCACAGCCACTGCTCTGGCCACAGCCAAGTCTCCTCCTGTTAGCTCCAGGGACCTGAGCAGAACTGGATCTGGGGACCCCAAGCCTGTCAGCTGCAGCACCTCCCTGTCACTCAGTACCATAGGAGCCATGTGTCCTCCAGGCCTGATAGGGACCACTGTCCTCCCTCTCTGTATGTGTAGGGTGGTGCCTCATCTCAGGAGAGATAGGACAAATGTCCCCACTGGCTTGAGGAAGAAAAAGGAATCAGGAAACAAGGTTGGAAACAGACTGTGGCTGCTCAGGGAGGGGGTTTAGCCTCATCTCTAGAGTCCCTGGGAGGACAAAGACCAGCTTTGTTGGGAGATACGGCTGGAGATTTCCAGGTGTGACTTAGCAGAAACCTAACAGCAGAAGCAGCTCCCAAGAGGAACCATGAGTCAGGGAAAGGTCGACATGAGGCATGCAGCTCTCAGTGCAGGGATGGCCGCCCAAGGTGGCCTGGACTGCCCACTGTCTACAGGCCAGGCCTCCTCTACAGCCTGACCACTAAGGGCCCAGTCAGAGGCTCAGGCAGGGCTAGAGGCTTCGTGAGTGACCACATCCTCCAGTTGTGGAACTGAGGCCTGAACACAGCCTGTCACTCATGCCAGCTCCACGGGCAGCCTGGCTTCCTGTTTGACTTTCCCACCATGCTCTGCTGACCTTTGCAAACCACAGGGACTGGCCTGGGCATTCATCTTTCCTCTCCTGAGCCCTGCTTGACTGCACTTCCCAGAAGCACAGCCACTCCCTCCGCCTGCCCCGACCCCAGACCCACAGCCACTTCTGGGTGCCCAGCCTAGCCACTACCACCTGCTGACCCCCAGTCCCAAGGACCAAGATCCAGGGGTCTAAACAGGTACAGGTCACACTGCATCCCCTCCTCTCAGTCCCATGCACCTCTGCCCAGAGTGGGTCCTTCTTGGGGCAAGAGGCCTTGGTCTTTATTACTTGGTCAGAGAAAGGCCAGCCTCTGACCACCTCCACCGTGCCTCGGTCTGGTGCACACTCCTCACCATGAGCATGACTTACCCAGCCTCGTTCCCACACCCTGGCCACAGTTGTGACAAAAATACACTCCATCCAAAGGCTTACTCCCCCCTCCCAACAAAAGCCAAGTGAGTGAAGGGCAAGGTGGGCTGACCACTCACTGGGCATCCCTAGCCCTCTCTGGTGGACAGGCCCAGGCCACAGAAAGAACCTGGATGTGGGTGGATGTGGCTGAGCAGAGCAAGCCAGCACCCAGCCCTGGCCCCTGTGGCTTCCCTGGCTCCCACGGGAGGTGCTGTAGGGGCCTTGCCCCAGCCTCAGCCCCCATAGAAAGGCCTCTGGGGAGACCCTCCTCCCCCTCTGCCACTTTTACAGGTGAGAGGGCCTGCCCACCTGCCCAGACCCAGAGCCCAAGAGGGAGCAGAGATCTGTCTCCAGCAGCCAGGGCTCCAGGCCAGCCCTGCCCACTCACTGCTGAGCCCTGCTGGGTGTCAGCTGGTCTTTGGTGCCACGTCTTTCCCTGCTGACAGTATTAGTGCTATGCTTTTCTCCAGAGCAAACAGACAAGGGAAATGGCTCTGCTGACAAGGGCCATGCAGCTGTGTGGCATGAGATGCCCGGCGGGGACAGATGATCCAACAGAGGCAGCCCTGGGTTCAGCCATTGCTTTGGGCACCTTACCCATCTGCCGTGGTTCCAGCCCTATTATCTTAAGTTAGTATCCACCTTTCCAGGGAGGCCCCATCCATGCTGGCTGTGACCCCAGTGATGGAGGGCAGGTCCGGTCCTGGGCAGGGGGTGGTCCAGTCCCTAATCACTGACACAGGACTCTTGGACCCAGAGAGACCCCATCAAATGAGAGGCTCCCTCACTTATTGCCTACTCCTATGCCAAGATCATTGTGGGGGGGTCCCCCAGAGTCCTTACCCTGAGGCTGGGGAACCCAACTTCTCTCCAATACCCCTACCCAAATCAGGCCTCTGGGCTCTAGACATTATATTGATTCAAGTTGCAACCCAGGCCGAAAACCCCAGGGACGGTGAGGCCAGGGTGTTGTGGTGTCCAGGACATGTGAGGGGGCAGCACTTGTCCATCTCAGCAGAAGAAAACCCTTGGCAAGTCCACCCCACTGGGAAGATGGCATCAAGAGGGAGAGGGGCTTTGGCCTTACCTGCTGGCCTCACCGTGAGCAGGGCCAGGAGAGCCCATGTTAGTGCCTGGCTCCCACTCCCGGTGCCCATCCTGGGGGCAGCACAGCGGGCGGGCAAGGAGAGAGTGGGGCAAGGCGCTGACTCCCTGGGGGACTGGGTTTATGTAGCAGAACGTCTTGGCCCCATGCCCGGCTCCTAGGTCACGCAGGGCACTGTCCACTCCCCGGGCAGGCACGTGTGTTTGCTCTTGGGGAGGGGCTGCAGCAGGAAAGAGGCCTGGATGAGGAAGGATTTGTGGCTCAGAGCCACCAGACGTAGGACGCCCCCCGCCCCCTGCAGCTTCTGAGAATTGGGAGGGAGGGAGCAGGGTAGGGCTGGCTGCCTGGCCTGGGGGTGGACCTGGCTGTTCTAGATGCAAAGACCTGGGTCAGTGGGGAGGACGGTTGTTCAGCCTGTCCTGTATCGGCTTCTCTTGGGAGCCTGGCCAGAGGAGGCCCCAGGAAGCTGACCGCAGGTGTTCAGTACCAGGTTGCTAAGGGTTGTAAGGCTGGACCCAGGTCTTGAGAGTCATTGCCTAGCAAGCAAGGGGCCTGCAGTTCCTGCTTGGCTCAGGAGAGTCCTTCAGCCCTGTGTCAGGGTGGGGTGCCGGTTCCCAGGGGTCCTAGGAGGAGGCTCCGTGTGAGACACCCCAGTGGAGCTGACTAGAGCCTCTCACACACTCTGGGAGGTCTCTGGCTTCCTTTCTGTTGCAAGGTTCAAGATCAAGGGGAAACTGAGGCCCAACTCTGGCCGTGGTCAAGGCAGGCCAGAGGCTACTAGCCCACATCCCGTTGGCTTCCTCCTTCCTCCCAGGGTCAGCATGTTTGCCCTGTGGCAAAGAGCTGGCCACTGCCTAGGGGCCCTAGAGCTGCCTGGACCTCATAGTGACTCCTATATAGGCTTCAGAGTGGTGGTGAGGGGGAGCCCCTGGAGGGTGCTGGGGTCTTCTGACCCCATTGCCCACCCCAAGTGAGAGTCCCCAACCGTAGTCGTCAGGCTTCCTGGGGGACACAGGGTAGCTGTTCCCCTCAATAGTGCATCCCCACAACATTGCTCCTAAGTTGTGGGCAGAGCAGGCGGCTTCAAGGGTTAGCGCTGGAGATGTTTCCAGAGCAACATCGTCTGTCATGCAGAACCTGACCGCTCTGAGGAGCTTCCCTGGGACAGACCCCAGGCTGGGGGCTCTACATGGTGTGCGGCTCGAGCCAGCCCAGCGGGGCCCGTATGAATGGCTTACAGGTTTGTCTGGTTTGCTGTAAAAATCAGCATCATGGGGGTCCCTCACTGTCTCCCCCTACTCTTGTCTTTCTGAGGATAGAGTCAGAGACGAGGAAAATGCAAAACTCGTCTTAAAAAGCTTCTGAACCACTTCGTACCCACTAGGCTGGCTGGGCTGGCTGTTGCCAAAAAACCTGAAAATAGCAAGTGCTGGTGAGGGTATGGAGCCGTGGGAACCCTGGGCACTGTCAGCGGGTGTAAGACGGCGGCCCCACTCTGGAATCGTCTGGTAGTTCCTCGAAGTTAAGAATAATAGAATTGTCATATGGCCGAGCAATTCTACACCTAGGTACATGCCCAGAGGAAAGGAAAGGGGACTCACGTACCCAGGGAGGGGAGTGGATGTGCAAACACTAGAATAATATGGGGAGTTTAGAAGAAGGAAATTCTCACACACAGGACACCTTGAATGGATCTTGACATTATGCTAAGTTCACTCAAGCCAGTCACAAAGGGGCAAATCCTGAACGATCGATCGTCAGAACCACAGAGACAGAAAGCAGGAGGGGGTGCCAGGGATGGGGAGTGAGTGCTTAGTGGGGACAGAGCTTCAGTGTGGGCAGATGAGGAAGTCCTGGAGGTGGACGGTGGCGATGGCTGCACAGCACCGTGAAGGTGCTCCATGCCCCTGAGCTGGCGCTTAGAAATGGTTAAGGTGGTAAGTTCTGTGTCGTGTGTATTTTACCACAATAATAATTTCAAATGACTTTTGCCACATTTTGCTGATGGTCACTCCTGACATGGAAGACAGCGCCACAAACTCCCTGCATTTCACCTGGGCTGGTAGCCAGGCCGAGACCCGCCTTGCACCTTTGTCTACAGTTTCTTTGACACAGGGCGTATCTGTGTGGAGCTGGCCTGTGGTAGAGGCCTCGGGCTCGCGCACAGGGGCCTGACGGGGTCCTGGCTGGGCCTGGATCTTCGCTCCCCACACTGCCCTGGCCAGGGCCGGTGCTTGGCTGCTGCCTGGCTCCTTTACCACCCTGTCATTCCTGAAGTTGAAAGAAAGTCCCTAGGACTGGGGTCCTTAGGGTTTCTAAAATTCTCTTCCATATCCAGCCCACTGCCAGACAGTGCTGCTGGGGGGACTCGAAGGACCTCCAGGGACCATCTGGAGGGTGGACTGCACCCTTGCCCAGGTGGTGTGTGTTTACAGAATGTGGCCATGTCAAGGCTTTGCTGAATCCTACTGTCCTCCTCCTTCCTGCTTGCTCACAGCCTGGGCAGACAACTGGCGATCCATACGCTGTGGCATCTAGTCCTTCACATCACAGGCTAGACGGCTGGCTGGCTGCAAAGCCCCTCACCCGCTCCCTCCCCTGCTAGGGTGGGCATCATCCATCCATGGGTCAGAGTTACCCACTGCTTATTTCTGCTCCTCCCTGTTCCCACTCATGAAGAGCCCCACGGGACAGAGGCCTGGCACGTGTGCTCACAGTCACACACAGTAGGCACTCAACAGGTACCTGAGATGAATGGGTGATGGCTGCAGCCCCCCAGGTCCTGCCCTTGTCCTGAGTGTCTTGCTCCTGTGGGGCCTCACCCCACAAGGTGCTGAGTGTCTTCCCCAGAACAGGGCGGGAGGCAGCCCAGCCTATGGGGTCGTGGCTGTTGAGACATCCCGGATGCACCATGGCCCAGCCTGTTTGCTCAGCCTGCCAGGGACTTGGCCCCTTCACAGTTGAAGGAGTTGGAAGCCAAGGATAAGGGAGGAGAGGGACGCAGCTGGCCTTCCTGGTGGGGGGGGCTGGCCAGCAGCCTCCCGGGAAGTGGTGGGGGGAGAGGAGGAGTTGGGGAGGTTCCCACCTTGGCCCTGCCAGGAACCTGCCCTGCGGCTTTGAGGGCTGAGCCTGGCCCAGCCTGGGGCGGGTCCCTGTCCCTCATTCTGGCCTCTGAGTCTGGGCCAGCCAGGACAAAGGGAATTGAGCTGGGCCACACAGAGTCCAGAGAGGAAAGACATGGTCCCCTGTGAACCAAGATTCCCCAGGGCCACACAGAGCCCACCAGGAGTGAGGGCTAGGTTCCACCATACCCCCAACACACGCAGGGAGTTTTTCAGTTTTCTTGCCAGTGACACACTGGGTCCTTGTGGCTCCCAGAGTTTTGTCCATCCATAGACATTGCTGGGTGAGGCCCCACAAGGAGCAAGTTTTGGGGGATGTACAAGTCATCCTGCACGTGGTATCCATGCCCCCTGGGCTGCCTGGCTGTGAGAAGGGCTCTGCCCACTTCCCTGGCCCTGTACCTGGGCTGCAAGAGTGGATCCCCTCTCCAGGATGGCTCTACCCTGTGTGAGGACCTTGTCTTCCCCGCCTTGTCCAACCTTTCCCTCGCCCTGCCATAGGTCCCTCCCTCTCTCCCCACTCCATCCTCTCTTGCTAACTGATTGAGCCTGGTGTGTTTTGGCACTGCCCCCAGCAAGGGCAGAAAGCACCAGGAGAATGAGGTCTTGCTCTTTGAAGCTTAGGACAACAGGAGTCTGTGGGCAGCAACCAGCTTCCCAGGAGCCAAGAATGAAGGATACCCCTGAGTGGCCAGGAGGGGCGGCAGGGCCACTTTCTATAAACTAGGGAATGGTAACACCAGAGCGAGACCAGTGGTGCAAAGGCCCCAGGGCAAGGATGGGCTTGGCCCAGGGAAGGTCCAAAAGGTAAGGCTGGGCCTGGGGCCTGGGTGGAGGGGTTCAGCTTCACTCCAAGTTTGGAGAATGAAGGAACTGGTTCGAGCATTTAAAACAGGAAAACCACAGCCCATTTTGTCTTACCTGTGGTAAATATATACATCATCAAATTCCCGATCGTCACCATTTTTAGTGCCCAGCTCAGGGGCCTGGAGCCCATGCACAGTGCTGCACAGCCATCACCACCAGCCACCTCCACTTCCTCATCTGCCCAACCTGAGACCTTGTCTCTTTAAGCACTCATTTCCCAGGGCCCGTTCTCTGGGACCCCCAGTCTACTTTGTCTCCATTAGGAGTGGAATCACACAGCATCTGTCCTGCGTCTGGCTAACTTCACTCAACACGGGTGTCCATCCATGCATGCTGTTGTGTGCATCCGAATTCCTTTCCTTTTCAAGGCCGAATGCTATTCCATTCTACAGATGGACGCCATTCTGCTCATCCATCCATCTGCTGAAAGACACTTGGGTTGTTTTACCTTTTGGCTGCTGTAGACTCTGGGGTACAAGCATCTGAGCCCCTGCTTCAGTCCCTTTAGGTAAATACCCAGTAGTGGAATTGCTAGGACATGTGCTGATTTTATATGGTCATTCTGTGTTTTATTATTATATTTTTTTTTTTGGAAAGACTGAAGTTTGAACTCACACCCACTTGAGCCACACCACCAGTCCCCTTTGCTTCAGTAATTTTTCAAATAAGGGCTTGCATTTTTGTCCAGGCCAGCCTGGACTGTGACCCTCCTGTCTACGCCTCCTGAGTAGTTGTTGTGACAGGAGTGCGCCACCATATCCAGTTTATTTGTTGAAATGGGGTCTCACTAACTTTTTGCTTGGACTGGCCTCAAACTGCTATCCTCCCATGTCTGCCCCTAAGTAGCTAGGACACAGGTGTGAGCCACTGCACCTGGCCTGTTTAGTTCTTTATATGTTCCAAATATTGATACCTCATCACATATGTGATTGACAAATATTTCTCCCATTCTCTACTCGTCTTTCCACTCTTTTGATGCCCAAAGGTTTAAATTTTGGTGAAGTCCAGTTTTTCTGGTTTTTTCCTGTCATGTCCGAGATTACGAAGATGTTCCTGTTTCTTCCAAGCGTCTTACAGCTTTAGCTCTAACTTTTATGCCCTTGATCTGTTTTGAGTACGTTTTTGTCTGTGGTGTCAGGGAAGGGCCCAACTTCACTGTTTTGCATGTGAATATCCAGTTCTCCCCTCACCATTTGTCAAAAAGACTAAGAGTTCTTGGCCTGCAGGTCACAAACCAACTGGCCATGTGCGTGGGTGTCAGCAGCTGGGCCTCCATCTGCCTGTCTGTCCTCGTGCCGGGACCATGCCGTTTTGATCGCTGTAGCTTTGTACTAACTTTCCTTTCAGAAAGTTTTGGTCCCCAACTTTGATCTTCACTCACAGAGTACATCGGCTGCTCAGGGTCCCTTGAGGAACCACATGAATTTTAGGGTGGATTTTTCTAGTGGTCCAAAAAGACACCATTGGAATCCTGATAGGGGCTGCGTGGAATCTGCAGGTCCTTTTGGGTGCCATTGTCACAATTGCAAGGCTAACCCTTGAAGCCCATGAACACAGGATGTTTTCCCACTCGGTCTTTAAATATATATTTTTAGCCATGGTTTATAGTTTTCAGTGTACAGATATTTTGCTCCTTCACCGCACCTCCAGTCCATTTTGCTCTGGTTATTTTGAGATAGGGCCTCATGAACAATTTGCTCAGGCTGGCCTCAGGCCTGGATCCTCCCAATCTCAGCCTCCCAAGTAACTAGGATTATAGGCGTGAGCCACTGGCTCCTGGCATCCTTGGTTAAATTTATTCCTAAACACTTTACTCTTTTTGATACAATGTAAGTGAAATTGTTTTCTTGATTTCCTTTTCTAATTGTTCCTTGCTAGTGTTTAGCAATTTGCCCAATTTTTTTTATTAGCTTGAACAGTTCTTGGGTGAAATTTCAGGGTGTCCTTCCTATAAGATCGTGCCATCTGTAATCAGAGTGATTTTACTTCTTACTTCCCAGTTTAGGTGACTTCTCAGTCTGGCTGGTACTTTGAACTCTACAGTGAATAAAAGTGGAAAATCTGTGTATTGTTTTGCTACTGATCTTGGAGGAAAAAGCTTTTAGTCTATCACCAGTCATGGCTTAGGAGGTTCGCTGTGGGTTTTTCACATATGTTTTTTATTATATGGAGTATTGAGGTCATTCCTTCCTATTCCTTGTTTGTTGAGGTTTTTTGAGTTATGAAAGAATGTTGAGTCTTGACAAGTACTTTTCTGTATCAATTGAGATGATCGTGGGTTTTTCTGCATATTTCACTGATTGATTTTCATACCTAGAACCATGCTTGCATCCTAGGAATAAACCCCTGGCCATGGTGAATAATCCTTCTAAAATGCTGCTGAGTTCAGTTTGCTAGCATTTTGTTGGGGTTTTGTTCTGTTTTGTTTTGCAGGACTAGGGTTTGAACTCAGAGCTTCATGCTTACAAAACAGGCACTCTTCCACTTAAACCACACCTCTAGCACATTTTGCTCTGGTTATTTTCGAAAGACTCTCACAAACTATTTGACCTGGCTGACCTTGAACTGCAATCCTCCTGAACTCAGCTTCCCAAAAAACTAGGATTACGAGTGTGAGCCACCAGCACCTGGCTTTTCTTGGGGATTCTTGCATCACAGTTTATAAGGGACATTGGTCTTAAGCTTTCTTCTCTTGTAGGTCTTTTTCTGGCATAGGGTCAGGGTGATCTGGCTTCATAGAATGAGTCGGGAACTGTTCTCCCTTCTCCAATATTTTGGAAGAGTTCGAGACATAGAAATTTGTCTATTTCTTCCAGATTGTCAAATTTGTTGACATACTCTGTTCATAGGGTCCTCTTTTATAATTTTTGTTTGTGTGAAGTTGGTAGCAAAGCCCTTTTATTTCTAATTTTAGTAATTTGAATGTGTTCTTATTCCCCTTAACCAATCCAGTCAAAGGTTTGCCAGTTTTACTGGTCTTCTCAAAGAACCACCTTTGGGTTCACTGGTTTCCCTTGTGCTTTCCTACTCTTGGTTTTATTTATCACCGCTCTAACCTTTACTATGTCCTCCCTTTGCTAGCTGTAGGTTTAACTTTCTCTTCTTTCCTCAGTTCCTTAAGATGCAGTTAGGTTATTGATTTGAAATCTTCCCTCTCTTCTAAGGTATGAATTTATAGAAATAAGTTTCCATCTTTTTCTTGCTTTTGTTTAATCTCATCAGTTTTGGTATTTGGTGCTTTTGTTTCCATTCAGCAGTAGGTATGGTCAAGTTTCCCTTTTG